GAGCTCAGTACGACTTCCTCGACCCTTGACATCACCTACCCGACGTTCGATACGACACCACAACTCCTGACCACGACCCAGAGCTACCGGCGGACGACCCGTGGGACTCCTCTATCAACGGAGCCTTACTTCTCTGACGATGACGAGGAGCCTTCACTACCCAACCAGCGACGCTCCCCGACAAGATCCAGAGCCAAGACCCTTTCACAGGACGGCCTCGCGCCTTCCTCCACCCTTTCATCGAGTACGTCACAGGGGGTTGAAGAAGGATCCACGCCCGCCTTCCCTCTCAGTTTCGAGGATTTGGATGGACCCCTTCCCAAATCATTGCTCTCTCCGGGTAATGAGAAGCAGATCTTCGCCCCAGCCCCGGTCGCCACTCGCCCTCCCGCCATATTCCCGGACTCAGGTTGTTCCTTGTCTGTTTGTCTTGTACCACATGATGTCAGTAATCTCTCGAATTACGGTAATTTCAAATGTGTATGTCACGTGGTTCAGGAGGTGGAAATATAACAACGATATGAATGTTCACAGTCAATCTCAGCTTTGTGTCACTAAGTGGTTCTTTGGTGAGAGATCGACAAAGCCTTTCACTAACAAAAGTCTCGTTAGTCAGCGAATGTTAATAATAGACACTTTTCTTTACGGATAATTTTATGGTATATTTCAACCTTAACCTATTTATTGTTTTTAATATTAGCTTTAATAATCCTAACAATCGTTTTACTATTACTAACACTCGTTTCATTTCAGACTCTAGTGTATTCCAGCCCACTCCTTCCCCGGACCAGTTCGACAGCAGTTTCCTTCCTCCACCCACCTTCCCTATGTCGCATGATTCCGGGTACTCCACCAGGACACCTTCCGTCAACCACATAACGACCTCATCCCCTAACTATCTTTCACCCACGCGGACTTCAACCTTCCACACATTCTCCTCATCTGGGTACATGCCGACCAACAGCCGCCCCAACAGTCACTTCCAGGGCGGGCGACCTCTGACACGGCCCACTGGACGTCCCTCTCCCACTTCCCTCCCACTCTCCCTCACCATCCCCCTGACGGACTCGCTCTCAGATGAGGAGTACCAGGAGCTGCGGGACTACCTTAGGAGGATCCTGAGTAGTGGGAGGACACCGCTGGGAGACACCGTGTTGCAGAAATTGGATGTGAAGGACATGGTAGCCGCAGTGAACGGGGCCGCTTTTGGGTCGTTTGGTATGATGAGTGAGGACGGCGGGAAGGGTCTAGCTATGTTCCTTGATCGGAGTGTGATTGACGGTGGTGTGTTCAATGGTGATACCATTAACGGAGGAATCATCGGGAACAGTGGTGGTAATAGTGGTAAAGACCTCGACATTGGTTTTATAGACGGGGGATCTGTTGACGGTGGGGTCATAGGGGAAGAAGGACGTAACAGAGGCAAGACCTTCGGTGGCATCACCATCAATGGCGGGACCACTGATGTAGAAGACATTGATGATAGTGGACTGAATGGTGGCAAAAACCTTGAGGGTGATATTATTGATGGCGGCACAATAGATCTGGGGATCATCAACTTGGATGTTCTCAGTAGCAGTGAGCTGGAGCACGTCTTTCTTAATAGTGGTAAGAGTCTAAATCGTGCCCAAAACAGTGACTCTGTGAGCGGTGGCACCTCCAACAGTGACTCTGTGAACAGTGACAACACCAACAGTGACTTTGTGAACGATGGAACCTCCAACAGTGACTCTGTGAACAGTGGCACCTTTGACAATGAAGCAGTTTCTGGGAGAAACCTTGGGTCAGATGACACCAGCACGAATGACTTTTCCCAGCCTCGGGTTAACAACCAGTGGCCCAACACCGCTCGAGAACCTTCCTTGATCGATCAGCTGATCAGGCTTCACAAGCCCAACTACCCGCAGGACCTTGATCAACAGAACCCTTTCGACAGAATCGCCAATACTGCCACTGGAGAAAATAGGACACCTGAGGCCATTCACTACATCCCGTCCCCCGATCTATCCACAGACAGACCCACTCAAGGCGACCACATCCTCTCCACGTCTTCCCTCAATAATTTCAACCCAATAAGAAAAATACCCGGCAGTATTAACCAGGGAAGTAACAACCGTGCCACGCCATCCAGGAAAATTAATGGCAATACTAATACTGGTGACAATGATGCTTCCAATACGTCGGACCAAACTGATATCGACATTAGGGACAATTTTGACGGTAGTGGCCAAGGTGGTAATAACCTTTTCTTCCAGGATGGCTTTCTTCCCTCAACGTCATCTCAAAAGGATTTAAATTCAGCACAAGACTCTGGTAATGGTGGCCAAGATGACAACACCCCGTCTCAGGTTGATGGTGCTTCAGGGAAAACCTTTGATAATTACAATCAAGGTGACAACTCTCCTGCAACATCGTCCCAGGGTGATGCCAACTCTGGGAAAGCTATTACTAGCGATGTTGATCAAGACAACACATCTGATGCATCGCCACGAACTATTGACAGACCAAGAGCACCCCCTCGCGACGCCTCTATTCAAGGTAAATCTGCTTCTTCGACGTCGTTTCAGAATGATAACAACACGGCACAGAACATCAGTAACAACCCCAGCCAAGACAACAACAACGTACTTGATACATCGTCTGGCAGGACACTCACGACCAGCCCGGACGTCACTGTAGCTGTAGATCCCACGTCTCCTGCACTACAGCCGGACATTAACACACGTAGAGGAACACCTCGTAGGACTCGCCCACCTTCCATCAACCTGGTGAGGCAGATCAATTCAAACCAAGACATCACGTCCAACTTACAAGCGCGACCAGTAGCAGTGTCGTCACTGTCTCCCAACCGCTCACCTGTGTTTATCAACTCTACCGTGTACGTCACCACCACTGCCCTCCCTAAGGTGTTCGGCTTCTTGAACCATCGCCCACGTATACACCGACAACAAGGGGCTACAAATCATCCATTTCCACCGCCTATACCGAGAAACCTTCCAGCATCTCCCCCACACGGAGGCCAGGAACATCAAACGGATCACGACGAAGATCAAACCAGTGTAGTGATCAGCCGGGAGGGCCACGACCTAGCCATCACCACCGACAGCGTCCACACCGGCCAAGAGGGGGGCATAGGATTGTTCAGTCTGGGAAATAGTGGCCACCTGCCTCTCTCGACGTCCTCACCTGGCCAGTCAACGTATGCCACACTGGGGCCTGAGGTAACGACAGTTGGGCCCGCGTCCTCTCACAGTCCTGATCCATCACAACCACTCCATGCTGCTGCGCCTCATGGGTCATCCCTACCACCAATACACATTTCAACATTTCCACCTCCCCATATTTCAGCGTCACCTCCACCCCATGGTCAAGTATCATTCAGTTCTCATATTACAACCTCACAGCCACTTTATATTACAACCCCAGCACCTGCCCACGGGTCTAACCTGGCCCCGCCCCACGGCTCAACAACACCGTCGTTTCATCCTTTCGGCTCCACGCCAGGATCTCTACACTTTCCCCCACACGAGTTGCTTCACATTCCTGCCGGCGGTCCGCTAGCTCAAGGTGCCTTTCCAGGTCCTCCTCACAGGTTTAATATAGGTCCCCAACACCCACCCACCCACGCCCCTCAGTTCGATCTCTCACACAGCAACTCGCCGGAGAACATCCCACCAGTCCTGCACCACGGCCCGCCCCTCATACCTCAGCACAACACCCTCAGTTTCTCTCCCGGACGCCTCTCCTACCAGCAGGTCAAATTCCACAATCACCAAGTACAGCACCGGGCAGGCAGAGACACCACCGACGTGCACACCTTCGTCAGTGGAAGTAACAGCCGCCGCCGGTGAAAGAACCTCCTGGTGGTACTGGCGTGTAAACAAACTGCAATAACTTATCCCCCCCCCCTTGTGTTTAGATTTAACGGTTTACCGCCTTTATGCACTGTGAGGCAAGGCAGTAGTACTTATATTTATGATGTACAGTAGTGTGGTAGTGTGTTTTGAAGTCACTTATGTAGATACAGTGTAGCCTCGAAGGATGCACTATACTCAACTCTCAATAGAATTCAAACTTTAAGGGGTCATATCAGAGGTTCAAAAGTGACATGATAAACACACACACACACACACACACACACACACACACACACACACACACACACACACACATACACACACACACACACACACACACTAACGTCCCAACTCTGAGCCACTGATATGACTCCCTTAATAAAAAGAGTTCTACATCAGGACTAACAGGGTAAATAACAACAAAGGCGTGAAGAATAACGTTTCTTCCGCTAGATTATTTAGTAAATATTTAAAAGTAGTTGTCTCCATTTTTTTACGACTCAATCTTAAATTTAACTCAAGAGGTTGAAAATAAAGGTTTAAATTGAAATGGCGTAATGGAGGAGTGGCGTAAAGGTTAATCTACAGTAGCAGCCGATGCAACCCTAGACAAAATATAGCTTCTAAAATGTGTATGTATGTGTGTGTGTGTGTGTGTGTCTCAAAGTTGGTTGGCAATAGCTACTTTTCTTGGGCTGAAAAACGACACAAAAAAGAATTATGATATAGTGAGGGGGAGGCCAAGGCGTGTAGGCTACTGATGTAGGTCCTCCTAACATTACTCGCGATATTCTGGCCATTATGCATCTCCTATACTTATTCTTCGTTCTGATTCTCAAAACTTACCCTACCATAAAAATATTCCTCGTTTCTAAAGATGTAAGAATGCAGCTAACCGATTAATTATACAAAACACGATAACATTAAAAACTATCGTCGAAATTACACTGAGACTCAACCGTAACCAAATACGTTAGCATTAGTAATGAGACAGTTAACGTACGGTATCCCTAAAAGTTAAAGTTTTCGATGATTTTATTTTCTGTTACGTGAAGCTATTTATTTAAGTATATTTTTAATGCTACCTTTGAACGTCTTTTTTTTGTGTTTTAACTAAAGTCAACCATTTAAGTAATCTTACATTTTCAAATACGATGATCTTTATGAATGGCAAAAATTTCAGAAGTTACAGATATTCCAAAAACCCTCCGAATAGCTATAAACCTCTTGAATTGGCGTCCTGTAAATATTTCTATCACTTATTAAACATGGCAGCTATTCTTGTGTTGATACCGGCAACTGGTCACGTTATTGTACAGCAGCAGGACATCATACAAGCATTACGTACAGTTGCCACCATTTATAACTACTACAGTGACTGGCATGTTTGACAAGATGTGGCACCACTGTTTGTTTACATCGTATTAACACTGACAGAAAGGGCAGAATTACCCTCACTATAGTAACCAGACCACGAGTGTTAAATAAGCAGTCTCCCTTCTCTCTGTGAATGCGTGTATTTCCTGCATGGTTATAGTTTTAATAATTATAAATTACCAAGTAGAACGTCATTGTTGTCTGGTGGGCGGTGGTGCCACATCTTATAAAACACGCGCGCCACTGGACCCGTTATAAATGGAGGCAACTGTACCTCTCCCGGGATCGGCAGTTAGCTGTTCCAAGCAGTTAATTTTCAGATTCCGCGGTGAAAGTTAAGTGAAAGTTGCCTTCATCTCCCTTATCATTAACCACACCTTCCACCTCTAACCACCACCCTTCCCCGTCTTTCGTCTCTCCCCTTCCCTCGCAAATTGGAAAATAATTCAATTAGATTACATTTACCTGCCATTAAACTCCGGGGAAAAAATCTTTACACGACAATTACGGTAAATATTTGGAAAACAAAAGATAAAAATCACCTTAGGGGGGTCTGGCTGTCCGGGTGAAGACGGTAACCTCATAGCTCCTGCAAAATAATAATAATAATAATAATAATAATAATAATAATAATAATAATAATAATAATAATAATAATAATAATAATAATAATAAGAGTTAACACCGTGTAGAACGCAAGTGTGTGAGTGTTTTTGAGTGCGCCTTTTAAGTGACTTGTCTTTCAGTGTGTTCTTTAAGTGCTTCCAAGCGAGTCCGACGAGTGTGTCTGAGACCAGTATGTCTGTGTTCAATTTGAGTGTGTTACCATGATTACAGGTTAATTCACAATTGTGGGTAATCTATTAAATTTATCAATCTTAATTTCAGATATAAAATTAATTCACAATTGCAATGTCACTCGATGTACAGGTATTAATCTTACTTGTAGAGGCAGGTAAAAAATAATATTCACAATGGTAATAATCTATTCAATTCTCGACTTAAAAACACAAATAAAATATAATAAAATAATTAAACCTATTTTTTTTTTTTTTTACTGTGAAGCGAACGGAAAGTTGAACTATCATAAAAATAACATATTTATAAAGTACTACACTGTATATATAAAACCCTTACAACAGTTCGTTAAGGAATTTTGAGAACATTTAGAATATGTTATCAAAAGAAATCAAGAGTTAAAATGTGAAATAAACAGTGAACAAAGGTAACTTACCTTCTTTCAACCGCCTGATACGCCTGGAACATATTTCCCGCAGTTTTTGCTGAAAAAGTTATAAAATTTGGTAGTGAAACTTTTAAAATTACAGGTATTTATATACCTAAATCATCTATTTAAATCAGAGGATAACGTTACACGACAATCGGGGTTACCCACAATACCCTACCTAACCTGAACTTAACCACGAGGACGATAAACTTGTCAAGTTACTGGACATGCAAAAATCAATAACTTAAAATATTTCAAACAAGTTCTTAATGTCACTAGGTTCGTACTTTGAAATATTTTTACGTTAAATATTCCACTAACTAGGGAGATACGTGAACACATCTTAATGGATTATGTTCAGCTTGGATGCAAAGAACTGAGACTCTACCATAACTAGCCGTGTTCTCCCCGTCCCAGTTCAGTAGTACAGATTTAACGTGGGAATCTTTGAGTCTAAAGCCTAGTCTCACTCTGGTTCTTGTCGCTCCGTGGAAGGTGGGAAATGTCGTTGGTTACAAGATAAACTTTCTATCTAATCTAAAACGAACAAAATTAGGAAACTACATACTTGCCACATTACTAAATTATGTGGTTTAATGAACAACACTAGTCTTTGAAGCGTAACATTGAGTAAGCCGCGATGTTTATGTGTTACTCTAGTAAATAAACACCTGTAATAACACACATGTCTAACTCTATTCTGTGGTAAAGTGTATAGCTGTCCTGAGTCCATGTGTGCATTCGACTGTGTATGTGCATATGCATGTGTGTGTGTGTGTGTGTGCGTGTACCTGGCAACTTTCCCACACCCACCAGAACAGCTGCTATAACTTTCCTGTTATGTTGTTATAATGTATTAAAACAACTATTACAATTAAAAAAAATACATTGGAAAAATAAATGCAATGTTTTTACTACTAGCAACTGAACATAACAAAATATCTAATAAAGAAGTATAAATTATATAAAAGTGCTTATCATACCTATTACAACAAGGAAAGGGCTTTTGGTCATGTAGATAACAAATGTGTACTGTATATATCCGCCATAATCAAATTTTTATGAGTGTTCTGCATGAGCTTCAAGTGAAAGTAGATTATGTACAATGTAACACAGCAGATGTTTTGTATATATATTTGTCCTAGATTAGTGGTAACTATCTTGGTAATTATATTACTTTCTACTGCACTGTACAACTGGTAGGGCTGAATTAACGATAGTAGTCAATAAAATAACACTGATAAACTTATTTATTCTTACCCTTCATATTTAACTAAACAATGACGTCATTCATTGATTACGTCACTCGAAAACACATTTAATATGAACAAATATTACAAAAAAAATCAATGAATGAGAAAATCGAAACTGTGTTTCTGGGGGTACTGGACCCAAGGAGCTTTAAATCTCCTTGACTGGACCAAGGTACTGTGCATGTGACGTCACCAAACTTCCGGTCCTTCAAATTAAACAAACTATTCAATATGTTTAGGGGGAGGCAGGGAACTAAGTAAGATTACATAACCAGGCATTAATGCTTTTTATCCAATAATTGAGTGTGGTAACCGAGGCAGGAGAACCAAAGATGTTTTCCTCTTTCAACTGCCAGTCATAATCACTACCCAAGGAGAGCGAACAAGAAAATTATCAGGAATAAACGACATATATATGGCTAGCCCGCATCATCTGTTCTGGTGTTGAGCCACGCTGTTATCCATATAATAATACATCCTTGTGTTCTGGTCACGTTACCAAATGCATGGAACAGTGTGGTGTTTATATAAGCCATTGTGTACTATTTGTGAGTTTTATGTGACCTTTCAAGGAATTATGATTAAAATTATTTATGCAATCTTCCACATATTACATATACTTGTCCAGTGCACTTTCAAGAGTTGGAGTCCAGTGATTCTGACGTTTATAAAGTCGTGTTGCATGTCACTGAGCAGGTAGACATCTCATTAAAGTCATCATCCACGATACGATGCCTGACAATGAAGTCCATATTCCTAAGAGCGCTACAAGTCCCTTTTCCTTCCTAGCATAGCTCTCATATCTAGCTGTCGTAATTCCTTTAATATAAGAGACTTATATCAGAATAAGAAAAAAATACAAACACAAAGGTAAGCCTTTTCCAAAGCAAATTTTTGGATTTACATTAGTTTGTGGCATTTCTTACCAAAGAAAATATGTAGAACCAAAATGTTTGTGGGTAACTACTTTATTCTTACACCATCCCCAGAGATACGTTATTTGTGGCGGTGATATCATTAAATTAATTTCCTAGGATATATACTGGTATGAAAATTATTGAAAATTAATATAAATTATCATACTTCTGATAAAGCACATGATTATAAAAATTAATAACTTATCCTGGGGTGAAATGATTTAGTGTTTGCCATTGTTTGCATTTTTGCACGTCTGTAGTAAATTCTGAATCAAGGTGATTCTGTATGATGACCTTACAGAACGTCTATCTACCTACGTAGATAAACGTAATTAATGGATGGTTGCTAGAGGTCACAGGTTCAAGTTAAAGAAGCTGTCAGTACAAGAAAAACTGTTAGAGCTAACTTCCTAGAAGTAACAGCTGTGAACCCTTGGAATAACCTTCCAGAAAATGCTGTGATAGAACTGAGTGTGAACTCTGCTCGTCTAAACTTGGCCAACACTGGCACAAGATCATTTACATTCAAGAGTCAGTATATATTTACGAGTATATAAACTCTTGGAACAATCTGCCCGAGTGCTGTGACGGCATCAAGTGTGAGCTCTTTCAAGACCAAACTTGACGAACACTGGAGCAGATTCAGATACATTCAGGAGCCAGTGCATGCCCAGTACTTGCCAAGTGCGTAACAGAGACGAGACCGACCGCCCAAGCGGCTAACAAGCTGATCAGTGAAGAAAAGGATACTGTAAAGTAAAGTAGTACTTTTCAACTAACCCAAAGAAACCTACTTAACCTAATCTAACTTCCTTACGGTAATTTCTGAGAACAGCACTCTCACCAGAAGGAATTTCGTTCATTTTTCCACAGATGTTCTTATCATTATACTGTAGTAAATATTTTAAAAGAGGCTAAATTTTTTATCTTAATTATAAGTTTATAATTTTGTTTTGTTTTTCTCAATCTACGATCATAAATCACCTGTAGTGGGCAGGGCATGAAGGATGAGGGAAATTGCAAGGTACAACACGGTGAAAAACTGATCACATGACACTAAAATTATGTCTCTACGTGCTTTGTACGTGAAGAAAATAATTCTTTAGAGAATATTCCCCGAAGAAATCTGGTCTCCGTGCGTCATCTGTTGGTTTACACAGACCGGCCGGGCCGAATGTTCTCTCCCGTCCACAGTAAAACGTCAGACTTAACCAACACTGGAGCAGGTTCAGGTACATTCAGGAGCTGGTACATGCCCAGTACTTTCCAACAGTACGAAACAGAGACGTAACCGATCGCCTTAGCGGCTAACGAGCCGATCAGTGATGAAGAGGACAAAAGTAAAGTAAAAAGTAAAAGTACCCGATATCAAAACAAGTAAACTTATCACCGTCGTCAGTAAGAACTCACACAAACGACGATCTTCGTAACTCGTTAAACAACTACATTTTAGTAATGTCTTTGGAATATTTTTTCTTCCTAAGTTCTCCCTGAGAGCTATGCAAATGTAGATCGTATATTACAGCCCAACGAACGCAAGTGTTTACAATAAACAAATTGAATTATAAATGAAGCACCAAAGTAAACTAACCTTCTTCTTAAACAAATGTATACTCTTCATTGTTATAAATGCTGTACTTATGCTGATACGTTAAATTTTCTACAGTTGCTTATCACACCCGTTCCCTTCGGATCTTGGAGCAGTACTGAGAAATTTGAGAATCTCAGTTGAGGACTTGAGATCACAGATGGCACTGGCAGTCCTGTCCTGGTGGAGCAGTGATGGTCATATATGGGACTGGTAAACGCGGTTATGCTGTCAAATTTTTAGAAGCGGTTTCAGCGACTAAGGCTATACCACAACTTCACATTCTCTACAGCTCACTTATTCTCTATTAACTCACTTACTGGTAGGAAAACCAACATTATCAACATTGTTACTCCATTTAAAGCACAATGGTTTGAACATGTCCAAAAATGCAACCCTTTATATCGCCAGTAGACAAAGTTTCAAAATTTTCGGGGAACATGACCCTCAGTTATCATATACTGTATTATTATTCGTGTTATTCGTCATATACATAACCAAAGGTCATTAATAGAACCAAAGAACATGAAAAGAAAGACGATGGTGGAATTTTTAGATGAATTAAGAGGTTTGGAAACATCCACGATCGTCTTACAGCAATCCCGTGGCCATAATATTAACATAAGAATGTAAAGCCTTCACTGTGCATTCCTCCCCTTACATAATAGGGTCATTAGCAGCCCTGAGAAAGAGGGAGAGAGAAAGGGCATCCATTGACGATAAAAGAAACTTTATAATCTATTTGCATAAGATCATTAACTTAGGTTTGGTAAGAGCCCATTTCTGTACTGTATCATTTATTTAACAGTCTTAAGGTGCCAGTACTCTTTATGTCGGTATATTTCACTACCTCTGAGTTGATTCACAAATACATGCTATTACCCAGTTACTCGGCTATCCTAGTTATGTTAGAATCAACGGTCAGTGGAGGCATAAAAAAGGTGGCTGACCTCGGAGTATTACTGTGGGAGGCCCAGGTGGGGAAAAGATCGTAAGAGTGAGGTTAGTTAGCAGTAGTATTTCTTAGTTATCTTTTTGTTATTCATTATGCATTCCTTGGTATATATTTTATGATAGTACATATATTTTTATTTGCTGGACTATATTTCCAGGATTACATCCCACTTGGACGATTGCCTATTTTATATGATTTAATGTAACCTAACCTAACCATTAAATTCATTTACCGGAATTGGTAAAAATCACATAAAACAGATGATCGTGCAAGTGGGATGACACCATTCCCAGTCACCAACATTATGTTATTGGACTACAGTACCTGTATATTAGTTTTGTGTGCATCCCAGCATCAGAGAACGGTTGCATTAGAATGCTAACTTGCCCACCTGGGCACAGGTCACAGACCCATATTGGGACCTGGGGGCTGAGATTTTTTTTTTTTACCATATATAAATACAGAAATAGAAAACAAATAAAACAGATCAAGAGTGAGAAACGATATACAGTGTACTGTACAGTATACATTGTGGTGTCAAAGTAAGAGAAACAATTGAGACCCTGCAATTGTGTAAATGAGGCAGAAAGTCAGATCAGCAACCTGGGACTTGGTCACAATTTTTGTGATGCCATATAGCAGCAGGGTCTACCATTAAACAATACATTATGCTTCCAATATTTTCTCAGGCTGTAGTACCTCCCTGTTTGATAGCTGCCTACTACCTACAATATCAAAATATTTCATATAGTACAGGTATGTTATACTGTACATTATTTGTATTATAACTAATGAAATATAAACTATATCAAGAATGTTTTATACAATTAATAATAAGTATTTCAGCTGTGCCTGTTGCCTCTACCCCACTCTTTGTTTGCTGTGAAGTTTACATTATAATCCTCTGTACTTTTGGGTCTGTGTCATGGATGATTAAACCGAGGTTATGTAGTTCATGATAGATTAGGCTAAATTAGGGTTTATTCTTGGGGTATGAAACAAGTTTTCTTAGGTGGCTGGTTAACCAGGACCCTCGTTCTGAACTGTTAGAATTAAATTATACAGTATCAAAAGTCAAACACTTATATATACTAGATATAAATAAATATATAGATAACCTACATAAAGAAATGTAGGTAAACAAAGACAGAAAAGGGATGCAGTACATAGATTGATACTGTACTCATAAGATAGATAAACAGATCTTCATTCAATAAAACTTGGCTTTCTGTATAAGTTTACATTGTTTCAGCTTGTAACATATATTGCAGGCATACAGTGTACATAGATTGTATGGGTACACAGTGCATGTATATAGTGTACAGAGACAGTGCAGGTATACATAGTGTATACTGTATAGTGTGTGCATAATCTTCCCCATTCCCGGATGGTTGGAACATCCTCAGCCTACACAGCAAACCATATCATGACCCAACACAGACGAATGCTACTAAAACATAACATGCACTACAAGGTCAAAGTGAGTGTTCAACATGATATACACCATTTATTGGTATAACATGATGTTCATGGCAATAATTTTGTACATTTATTATAAGTTTTGCATTCAATATACAGGGCACTGTAGTACAGTATTAGAAAATATTAAAATGAATAAATTTTATGCACTGCAAGTTTTTTATCAGTTTGAACCCAGCACCCAAAGGTGAAATTTTTTGTACATTGATTTACCTGTGTAGATTATAAATTCTGATTTATATATATATATATATATATATATATATATATATATATATATATATATATATATATATATATATATATATATATATATATATATATATATATATATATATATATATATATATAGTTAGTTAGGTGTGTGGTGCTTTCTAACTTCAGTATATTTATAATCCTTTCTTGTTTCCTCTATCACTTATTGTTGCAGGTTAACCAACATGATGCAGTACTTGTGCAGGAAATTGTAAGATATTCTTATGAACTTCACAAAAAGAAGAAACATAACACAAACAAGCCACAAATGTCCTTCATACTTTATTTGAGATTTCTTTACATTGATTCATACTAGAAAAGATGTTTCTACAATAAAATACAAATATTATTATACACTGTACAAGGGGCAGCCTCAGGTCGGGGTATTGTGGCACGCGCCAGGGTCATTCGGGAACAGTTCCCCCACACTCTAGCAAGGCCCTGCATGTTGTGTTGTGTATGATACAAACAACAAGGTTTCTACTCTAATTTGACAACTGAATTGCAGTCTTACAGAGAGGGCAAGTATAAGGCAAGATGAGAAAGAACTAGTTGGGAACAGACAACTGTAATTATATGTGGGAGAGAGACAATGAAATTATTTACCAAAAATAGTAAAAGTGAACTCCACAAAGACATCAATTCATTTATTAAAAATGGATTAAATGACAAGGGCTTGTTGCTGAGTGTGGGTGATCAGTCCTCACACTTATCTAGTCCTGAGTAACAGAGCATCTCATCCTCACCTCCTGGCCACCACACAGGAGCCAGGCCACGCAGCAGGTCACCAGGATAAAATATCTACTATGATAAATAATATAATACCAACCACAAAAGTCATTACAAAAATAAACAAACACATCTGAGATACATAAAAAAATCTCTAAGGAAATCGACCTCTTTTTTTTTTTAGCCACACTGTACAAGACTGATCACTGCACACACTCGTAGTGCTCTAGCCATACACATTCCCTATACATCAACATATATACACACACGTTAGCGAAGTAGTTCACAGGTCGCAACATTCTCAACTCATGCTATGGATCCGAAAATATGTTATTTTTACAATAATTTGACGACAACGCACAATATTACACATACAGTATAAACAAACTATCATTCACACGTCACAAACCACAGCACACAAACCTCCTGACACACACATACCACATACTGCTCCTAATTATGCAGGAAGACAACCTGGTGGTACGAACACCAGGGAGGGACAACAGCTCTGGTGTCTACATGACACAAACTAAAGATGCATCATGTCTTCACACTTTGCTTGAGACTTCACATTACTGCACTGTACTTAAAAGTTATAAACCACATTTAAAATTTTCAGGTCTTTTATTTTGTATAATACTAATGGCCCTCTTGAGTAGTTCTGTGTTGATATGAGAGAGGCGAATTTCTATTAGTTTACAGATCACAGCTGTGCCTGCCTTCTGCAGTAGCAGCTGGATACCACCAATACCTCTCAAGTTTGAATGAACAGGAGCCAGACTTTGGTATGTGTGTGTGTGTGGGAGGTGTTGGTCAGGGCTGGGAATGTGTCTTCTGGTTGGTGGTGCCCCCAGCGACGCTACCACCACACCCCCGACTATGGTCCTAGGCCGCCCACGCCTGACTGTACACGCCCACATGCCCCTGGGCTACTCCTGAGGGAGGCCCTGATGGGCAGGAGCTGAGGAAGGGGAGAACTGCTCGACTCATCTCCAGGCCTTAGACACAAAAATAAATCCATTCCTGAGGTGGATCATAATTTTGGAACAAAACTGGAACATTACTGACTGGCCTGAGATGAGCTACACAAGACAGCTATTCTCCTCTTACAGTAGTGAGGTATAAATTGATAACAGATTTTGTGTGGGTGAGTCACACTGCGAACCACATCTGGAAGTGTTGCGACGGAGAGGCTTGGCGGGAACCCTCGACAACTTAGCCAAAGAATAAATTTTCTGTCATCTAAATCTAAAATCTGCAGATGTCGAGGAGTGTCCAGCAGCTTACTCAGCCACAGGTGTTGGAGACAGGTGACTCACCACACACTCACTCCACACCTACTCACTAGCGGACATGTGTAAACACACGCTCATCGTCACTGCTTCACTTCAGCACTTGTGGCAGTAAAAAATAACACTTTGTCACTTCCTCTCTAGACACTTTGTAACACTGTCCATATCAGGTGGGTGTCGAGGAAGTCTTTGTTTTCCAGGAGGTGACAAGAGGCAGTTTACACCACTGGGGTGAGTGATGTCATCCAACTCAGGTATATGAGAACTTCACTTCCATAAATAAGAATTTTTATACAACGAGCATCTTATGGGAGCAAAGAAGCAGGTACTTCACTGAACACCTTCCACAAATACTGACCATCTATAATAAAAAAAAAATACAATTGTAGTTGTTGCCTGTATCAAGTAAAACAAAGTGAGAGGCAATAACAAATTCCCAAGTAAAAAACATGAGGTAAAAACACAGAGGTTTGTCTTGAAAGTCACACTTTGTAGTATTATACATTAAGACACATGAGGCGTTGCGTGAGAGGAAATATTGAATATTTTTCTTAATACTGTTTACGACATGCGCCTCCTTGTTGAACGGGACATGGGAATCATCTAATTGGCAGTTAAATGTGTACTTCCGAGGAGGCTGCTTGATCCCTGCACGGTGGTAATGAAAATGAAACCAATCATTGGTTTAGCATCACTTGGGGGAATGAGAAGGTCATGTTTACAATATTCTGAGGGTGTCTAGCACGTGGCAGGAATTTACTGGGAATATGTGTAGAGAGAGAAGGATATGTGTGCTGGATTGACGTGTCTCGGACAGTCTTGCAAACTGAACCGTCAAGATGAAACACACACGCCCGCACAGCACACAATGTATCAGCTGTGGGGGTGCTGGGGAGCATGGAGGTTCATTGCAAGTCTCCAGGGGGTTGAAGATGCCGGATCAGGAGGTAGTTGAAGCTGCAGGTGTCCGTCTGTGTGAGCGTGTCGACTCCAGTCTGAAGGAGCTCCGAGTCTCGGTTACTTGAAGGTGATGATAGGTGAGGTGGTAGATGTTCACATCCCCCAAGAAGGCGCTGGCAAGGGACAGAAGCAGTTTCTTTGACGAGTAGAGTAACTGAGTTGGGTTCGACTTGTTTGATTTTGGCTTGGGCTTCCCGCTGGAGGGCCCGGTAGCACCATACGGACGAGGCGGACGCACACCTGGGGAGAGAAGCTCAGGTAAGAGACACAACTCCAAACATGATTACCATGATACTGTACAGGAATAATTCTTATTATCAGATATTCACTCCAGGAAGAAAGAGTGATTTGCTGTATCTAGCATAAAGTGTTACACTCTAACTAACTACTGTAGTGTAATGTGTAATTTTGTTGACAGCGATCACATCAATGTACAAATATAACCTAACAACAATGGAGCTTCAGAAATAAAATTACAGTACATAATAAACAGATGTACCCATTTATATCAAACACTGTATACTGAACTAATAACTCAAAGTTTATCAGAGCTGGTTAAGAGGATCGCATGTGAATTATTACTATATAAAGACACCAGACTGTGATCTTCAAGAGGTTACTCATATATCCTAATTGTTTTGCCTCCTGAATATATTATTTTAAAGCAACTATTAACCCGAGAATGGATAAATCCCTTTATTCTCCCAATGTAAAATTCATATGACAAGTGCTCCAAATACTGTACAATACCATTTTTTTTACTTTTAATGATACACAAAAACCACTTTATATACCGGTATATACTGTACCCCTTCCTCCCACGCCATGAATCACCAAATACTGTACTACAAAGACATTCATATATCATAGACCATCAGTTCATTGTAATTTTATTTAGATGAGAATTTATACCCGGCAATATTTTTTGTTAAGAGAAAGATCCACACACAGACAACATGGCGACACCTGAACGTTTCCTATAACACAGTTTCATGGCATCAAGATGAGTGTTAGTGGTGAGGTGGTGGCAGCCCGTGTAAGGGGGAACCTCATCACACCACTATCACCACCGTACTCACACCACACCAACAAACGTAACTACTTCATTCATCACTACATCCTTCATAATCGATCATCATCATAACTACTACACTGACCATCACCACCATACTCATCACACCATTAACACAATGCACCACACTGTTCCCCAACACACACACACCACCATCCACCACACACACCACCATCATCCACCACGCCATACCACCACACAACACAATACTCCCCACAATACCATCTACACCACCATACCACCTCACACCACATCGTATCACCACCCACACCTCTCCACACACACACACATCACCAGCCTACACACCATCACCCACCACACCACCACCCCTCACACCACACCATCCATACACTACATCACCATCCTGCACCACAGTAACCCCACACCAGCACCCACCACACTACCACCCACCACAACACACCACAGCACCATCCACACACCACCCCACACCACCACACCACACCACCACCCACCACACCACACCACCAGCACCCAACAGAGGCTGATACGCTCAAGCTACTAAGACATAAATCACAACTTTTGAGTCTGTGCATCATCAATTATGGGAAACATCAAAGCGTTTACCTCAGGCCCGCCACCTCACCTCTCCTCCCTCCTCCTTCACAATCCAACCAGATTAAACGCTTCGACTCTTAAAGTTGTTGGAATTGATGAGGGATCTCCTCCACGCTCGATATAGCCCCCAAAACACGCCCAAAAAATGGCGAGTTAAGCGCACCACCCGGGAGAGCAAAGGACCATAGCTTGAAACATCTCATAATGCGAAACTGACTATAATCTGGCGTCCCTGGTGGCGAGGCAGCCTCTTGACCCTTTGCCAGGGCGACGCGAGGCTCATTCTGGCGGGCGTGGGATGCGACTGTCTGCCCCCCTTCTCCCGCGCCCACCATTACAAATAGAGTCGGGAGGGAGCACACGACACTCGCCCTTATCCCACATAATAAGGCAACCCGGGACGCACGGGAGAAGGTTACGCCCCTCTGGCCTCCCAGCGGGTCTCCCGTTTAGATAGCAGAAAACCGCGAGCGGAGACATTCCGCAGATTACGCCTAGCTAGGGTTATCATCCTGGCACTCGTCTCCGCTACCCGTAGGGGTCCCTGGGGATCCTAGAACGTCCTGGACGCCCCTGCAGTGCCCCTGAGCCTGAGGTACCTGGAGAAGGAGGGACTGCGGCTCGCAGATGGGGGAGTGAGACTGGGGTGCGGGTTGCGCCTCTATGCCATGCCACACACCTCCTGCTGGATTGAGACATCAACGTCAGCCCAGGTAAATACGCCCGACCCCGTTACACTGACGTCCGCACCCACCGCCCACTTGGCCCGAGCCCACACACGCCCACCCCGCCCGCCCCCAGGCTCACTACCTGCTACGGACCAGTTATTACTTTGGCCACGCCCACGCCACCTAGGGCGTGAGGGAAGGGGTCTTGTAGGCGGTGTACGAAGGAGATCTCAGCTGGTCATTGTGTATGTTGAAGTTGTACGCCAAGACTGTGGTGATGCCCGGACCCTACACACACACACACACACTCGCCCTCATACACGCTCACATTCATAGATACAAAGATACATGGAAATACAGGCGTGTATTTTCAGAGATACAGGATACTAGCAAGGTGAACGTAACCTCCAAGTACAAACTAATACAGTGATGCCTGTATGTTCAATGAACACACACACACACACACACACACACACACACACACACACACACCTACGAGGACCAAGACAGAGCGACACACTCGGGTGGCAGGTGGTGGAGGGGGTGAGAGGGAGGACAGGGCCACCAGCAGGAGGAGTCAGCCCCCTTCGTCGCCCACCCACACTCAGGTAAGTCACGGCCACAGGTGAGATGGTTCAGTCACGGTTGGGCCACGTCATAGAGACACCTCCAACACACTTATCACGTGACCCGTCAACTGTGATGGATGGCAGAGAAGAGCAGCAGCGCCACCATCAAAAGGTCGACCCGCAGCCTGTCTCTTTAAAGCTGTCTGCTCGTATTATCGTATCAAATGGCTGAATAAACTTGTTAAGAAAAGTATTAAAATGGAATAGGTGTCAGGGGGGGAATAGGTGTCAGGGAGGAATAGGTGTCAGAGGGGATGAGTACAGTGTTATGCCACAATAGAACACACAGGGATTTGTTTATTTTTATCAGTACACCCACATTGCCATCGACCAAGACGGGGGCCATTTTCAACACCTTCTGTGAACCTTAGACTGGGTTAGGTTAGGTCACTTTACTCTTGCTCTGTAATGTTCATACGACAAGTGTACCAAATAGGGTGCAGTGGCCACTGTGATGGGTGTAGTGGCCACTGTGACGGGTGTAGTGGCCACTGTGACGGGTGTAGTGGCCACTGTGACGGGTGTAGTGGCCACTGTGATGGGTGTAGTGGCCACTGTGATGAGTGTAGTGACCACTGTGATGGGTGTAGTGGCCACTGTGACGGGTGTAGTGGCCACTGTGACGGGTGCAGACATTCTCAGACGATACTTGAGACACCATCACCACCTCTTCTCTCTCTCTCTCTCTCTCTCCGTGTATAAATAATCTTAAAATGACTGCCTGAGTTAACCCGTCTTGTCGCGTCTGTTCACTCGAGTCTGTAAACATTATATTAGGACTCGTTTAATTAATCGAAACCCCCACCAGAGCAACTAACTCAAAAGGGATCACTTCTCCATGACTGCTCAAAGCTCTCCCCAGCCCAGCAGGTGTGCCAATAAGGTGTCCCGATTGAATACAAGAACAAAGTGTGGTTAGGTTAGGTTATCTGATCCCTCGTTTAAAACAATCGTCCCATGTGCCAGAACTAGACCTTACCCCCCCCCCTTCCTCATTACCCCACCTGTGTAATGTGTTTGGGGCTGCCCTGATAACCCCCCAAACATGTGTCATATGTGTTTTTTGGGGGTCAGCTTCAATAACTCAGCCTACCGGAACAAGTGTCTTACTGCAGTGGCTCTCAACATCCGCTAGCACCAGTGAGGGGGGCATCGCTATCGTCATCAACTTCGTCATCGTCGTCTCCAGGAGTCTGCTTGAGAGGACCCCCCTCAGAGAATTATCTAATTTAACACGGGGCGTCGTAATGACCAGTTTGGAAGACGGCTCGACCCACGAGGAGGCGGCGGCGAGATCAAAGTCCGGCGCCGTGATTGAATTCTTCACACAATCACCGCACAATAATGGCGCTCTGATGTAAAATTAGCGACGCCGGAGCTCCACTCATTGTAGCCTTTCTGACTCCAGCCTTGTCACTTTGGATTCGCTGATTTTCTTTCATATCGCGGGTTAATTCTTGACGGGGGAAGACCTGTGGACAAGTTGAGTCTATGTTACCTAGTTGGAAGGTGAGGGAAGGGAGGACTAGGGAGGGGAGGGATGGAGGGGGAAGGGTAGGGCTGGAGGGGAAAGGGGAGGATGGAAGGGAAGGTAAAGTTGAGGGGTTCACCTGAAGATTAAACACCCCCACCTCTAGTTTATTTCATCTGATGATTAAAACCCCTTAATGCTACCTAAGGGGGTTAGATTACGTTAAGGGAAGAGAGGTTAGATTAAGGTAGGGGAGGTTAGGTTAGGTTGGAGTTAATTTAGCTTTTGTTTGGTTATTAATAGTTAATCTTAAGCTGAAATAAGCTGTGGGTGTCTAATCTTCACGTGATCCGTTAGGTGTAGGGGGGGCGTTGCCATATGGGCGTGTAAAGGAGCAGACGGGCGTGTGCGTGACGGATAATGAGGGTGGGGGGAGGAGGAGGAGGAGGAGGGAGGAGGGGAGGAGGAGGAGTAGGGAGAGGAGGAGGCAAGGGAGGAGGAGGGAGGAAAGAGGAGGACGTCGTTTTTCATCTATGACGACAACAGGCCAGGGGAGGAGTAGGGAAGGGGGGGCTGGTCCTAATCACGTGACACTCGGTTCTGTGAATGAAGGGTCCCCTGACGACGCTACGTGGTCCTGGGTCTTTTAAAGGGCTGGGTGGGTGGGTGGGTAGGTAGGTAGGGAGACCACTGTGGGGGAGGGGCTGCGAGGTAAAGAGTTACTCACTGTGGAGGAAAGTTACTGACAGGCTTAGAAAGTTACTGACAGGCTTAGAAAGTTACTGGTAGGCTTAGAAAGTTATTGAAAGGTATAGAAAGTTACTAAAAGACATAGAAAGTTAATGAAAGGCATAGAAAGTTAATGAAAGGCATAGAAAGTTACTGACAGGCTTAGAAAGTTACTAAAGGTTACTGAAAGGCATAGAAAGTTACTGAAAGGCATAGAAAGTTACTGACAGGCTTAGAAATTCACTGATAGGCTTAGAAAATTACTGAAAGGCATAAAGCTAAAGAAAGGTATAGAAAGTTACTGAAAGTCATAAAGCTAAAAAAAAGTCATAGAAAGGAGAGACAGAAAGTTAAGGAAGCCAAGAGAGTTGATGAGATGCACAGAAAGTTGAGAGGCCAGGTATAAGGTGGCCAACAGAACGACCCCAAAGGTTCTCTTAGCGATTTGGCACGGAAGGTTAAAAACATGGAAACTCCTCCCGGCGTCCACGAGGCGAGGGGCGGGAAGGAGAGCTGAGAGGGCAAAGTATTCCTACCTTCTGTACTGTGACAACAAACACCCGAGACATACATACATCCCCCCCCCCTACACACACACACATCCCAATCACACAAACACATACACACTATTGTACACCCCTCACACATATTTACAGAACACACACACATACACATACATACATTCCCACACCACACACACAGTGGGTCACGCTTCTCTCGCCAAATGAAAATGCCAACTTCTTATCAATAGAATGCGGGTCATTAGCCATGGTGGGAGCTTAAGTGTCGTATTTAAAACAAGTCTGGGGATCCCGCGGCCTCAGCAATGATTCATAGGAACATTTTCTTAATTAAATAAGCGGAACGGAACCTGTACGGGGGCGGGACCACCTACACTGTGAGCTGCCGGTGTGTGTGTGTGTGTGTGTGTGTGTGTGTGTGTGTGTGTGTGTGTGTGTGTGTGTGTGTGTGTGTGTGTGTGTGTGAGAGAGAGAGAGAGAGAAGAAATGGAAGAGAACGAGTGTGTTTCTTTGCTCTCTCTGTATGTCTTTCTTTCTTTATCTCTCTCTCGCTGTCTCATTTCTCTCCCCCCTCCTCCTCCACCAGGGTCCCTCTCACCTACAGTGGAGTCATCAACACGGCGGCTCATGAATAATGTAGAAGGGACGGGGGGCAGAGCACGCAAGGAGCCCCGCCATATTGCGACACTCATTACCATGTTCAAACCGACACTTCCCCCAAACTGTCCATCTTCCACTAGAGACGAAAAACTACACCACAAATCATGCAAAAATTCGAGGCAATTTTCCTCCTAAAAGGCAGATACGAGAGGGCGTTGGAAATTGGTGCGGAGTGGTGCAGCTTCGTGATGATATGCCGGAGAAAGGTGTCGGGGTGAGGCGACGGACCTTGTTGCTGGTGGACAGACAGACCAGACAGACAGACACAGACAGACAGACGGACAAACAGACAGACATGCCTCTTTCCCCAAAACACAACTTCGACCCAAGAAGACCTGAGTGATAGCCTGTAAGTCTCAGGTAAATAAATCAATAAGTTCCCACACGACTACCTGGATACCTCAGGAGCACTCTTGGAGACTGAACACTAATAAGACTTCAAGGGAAATGCAAACAGACTCTCTTCCTCTCAGAACCAGCTTCTAGCCTTTCACATGGACACCAGCTGTAGGCGATTCGGGGCACCAGCTGCAAGTGATTCAGGTTACCATCAGGCGACACTCACCTCACTTGGTAAAAGCCTCCTCATCCATGTCTGGAGACCCTTTGGAGGAGGAGGAAGAAGAGGACGTCCCCGCGCTGGAAGAAGGCGAAGAGCCACAGTTGAACGACGCCGAAGCTGGGTTGTTACCGACGCCTCCACAACCACTGCTGCTGCTACTCCGTCGACTGCTGCGTCTGGTACCACTGCCTCCTCCTCCACCACCACCACTACTGCTGCTGCTACTACTGCTGCGGTAGGTCGGCTCAACAGCTCCTGAGGGAAACATCGAGGACAAGGTCTCAATTAACTTTTATTTATGCCAAGCAGAGGTTTAGTGTTGGGTGGACTGTACTGCATCAGGTGCTGGACTCTATTATTTTACACACTCACGACTCTTTAAGACAATAACTGAACATAATCACGATGAGTATTAACGTCTCTGAGGTTACTTAAGAACGTTGGGGAAACTTACCAGGCAACGGCGTATGCAGCTCCACCTTCACCTTGGCTGTGGCGGTGACTTTTGTGGTAACGTGATGGTCGTGGTGCGTCTCCCCAGGGTTGCTGGTCCCCGACGAGGTGGTCGTCTCTACCACAACCTGAGGCTCCACTACAATCTCATGTGATGACCTGAGCGATTGTGACGACCGCGTGGATGACGACGGTTCCTCGGTGATTGTGGTGAGGGAGAGGTTGGAGCCGTGGAGGCGTGGATAAAGAGATGACCCACCCCCACCACCCGAGCGACGACAACTTCTCGAGTTAGACCCGCTACGACTCCCACTCCGTCGAGACGACCCACTGTGGGAGTGGGAGTGGGCGGGCTGAGGCGAGGGCGGTGGAGAGGGTGTCGGGAGGCGGTCTGGATGGTTACGGGGCACGACTTCTGCGGGAGGACCAACTAGGGAGAGGAGCACCGGCAGAAAGACCAAACCGTCCAGTACCCCGAGCACCGTCAGCGCCAGCAGCACGTAGAAGAAGTACCTGAAAGACACAGTAGCACACCCAGTCAGTCGTGTGTTATTCTATAAGGGATAATACTGCATTAACTACAGGGATCTTTTCTCTCTGCTGAATTCACTCCTAGACGTCCAGAGGTAAGAGGGACGTGGTGTGTGAGTGGGGAAGGAAGGGTGAGGATAAAGTGGGTAAGACTGGGGTGTGTGAGCGAGGGAACGTTACTAGGCCTTGGTGGTGGAGGTGCTGAGGGTGATGGCAGTAGTAGTAGTAGAATTAGTGTTGGTGGTGGTACTGGTGATGGTAGTAGTGGTGGTGGTGATGGTGGAGGGGACAGCGGAGGGAGGTAGCGGCGGCCACACCAACTAATGAGTCGCCACATTGGTGATGCAAACAATGGTGTCTGAGATCCTAATACGGCGACCCCTGCCTCCTGCAACCCTTGGCTGGTACACCACACACACACACACACACACACACACACACACACACACACACACGACAGGTAAAAAATCGCTGTGACCTGCTCCTCAACACAACCAGTGAGGGAGGCCTGGTGGATCACTCTGCCAAGGTGGATTACGACTCCACCCTCACCAGCCACACTCCAAAACCACCGCCTCCACCATCTACACTCAAAAACCACCACCTGTACCATCCACACCCCAACACCACCATCCACAATCCAACTCCACCATCTACACCATCCACATCCCAACACCACCACCTTCACTATCCACACTCCTACTCCACCCCCCCAACACACACACACACACACACACGTACGTTACTGAAATTCCACACCACACCATCCAGTTTAGATCGAGTTGACCACACCATTATTAACTACCTGACCTTACCTTAACCATATCCAAACACTACGTGGCCCAGGTGTGTTGATTGGCTTTCTTTCAACCAGGTAAGACTTTTTTTCATTAGTGTTGAGTTTTCTTCATTCATTCTTTTATTTTTCATTTATTATATATGAGAATGAGAGATGGCGTGTGTGGGGTGGAGGCGGTGCTGGGCAGGTGGTAATCTTCACACCTATGATCACAGCTGTTCCACACCTGGTCTTGTGGCCCATCCACGCCCCTCTCAGGTGTTTTTATTGTGTGTGTGTGTGTGTGTGTGTGTGTGTGTGTGTGTGTGTGTGTGTGTGTGTGTGTGTGTGTGTGTCAGTAGTAATAAAAATAATAATAAAATAATAATGATGATGATGACGATGATGATAATAATAATAATGATGCGTGTGTGTGTGTGTGTGTGTGTGTGTTTACAAGAGTTTAAGGCCCATGGGTGTGTGCATGTTTCTGCGTAATACGGGAGTATGTATACATTAAGGCCCCGTATGTGTACATAGGAGCACGGGGTACACACACAAGGGCGTGAGTGCTTAGAGGGGTGTGTACTTTGGCGTTGTGTGTGTACATGATGCGTGTAGGTAAGACCGTGTGTACATGGGAAGGCAGTCACGTAGGTGGAAGTCAAGCATGCAGGCAGGAAGTCAATCGGGCAGGTAAGTAGGTGGAAGTTAAGCAGGAAGGTAGGTGGAAGTTAATCAGGCAAACAAGCAGGCAAGTATGTTGAAGTCAAGTACACAGGTTGGTGGAAATCAAGTAGGCAGGCAAGCAAGCAAGTAGGTGGAAGTCAAGCAGATAGGCAAGTAGATAGAAGTCAAGCTCACAGGCGGTACAGTAGGTAGGTGGAAGTCAAGCACACAGATAGGTAGCAGGCAAATAGATGGAAGTCAAGCAGGCAAGCAAGTAGGTGGAGGTCAAGCACACAGGCAGGTAAGTGGAAGTCAGACAGGTCGGTAGGTGGAAGTCAAGCACACATACAGGTAGGTGGAAGTCAAGAACACAGGCAGGTAGTAGGCAAATAGATGGAAGTCAAGCAGGCAAGCAAGTAAGTAGGTAGAAGTCAAGCAAGTAGGTAGGCAGAAGTCAAGTAGGCAAGCAAGCAGGTAGGTAGAAGTCAAGCAGGCGAGTATGTGGAAGTCAAGCAGGCAGGTTTTCAACAAGTTTTTGCCTGCCCCGGGAGGACTATATAATTTGACGATGAATGAGATCCTCCCATCGGCAGGTCCATCCAAACCCGACTCTCCCCTCCCCCTAACCCCTCCCCTCCTACCACCTCCATCCTTCCCCTCTCGCTCCCCCACCCTCCACCCGGTACAAGGTGTAGGAGGAGGAGGAGGAGGAGGAGGAGGAGGAGGAGGAGGAGAAATAAAGAGGAAATCAAAAGAAGAGGAGGAAGTACAAACGCGTAAGAATAAGAATAAGAAGAAGAAGAAGAAGAAGAAGAAGAAGAAGAAGAAGAAGAAGAAGAATACTTGCTTGTCTCGCCTAACCTAACCTAACCTCACCTAATCTCCCCCCCCCCCTAGGCAGTGTAATCAGGTACTCAGAATATTTTACAGGTACAGATTAATTTTACTCAGACTTAACTAATAGAGAGAGAGTGGGGCAGAGGTTAACAGGAAGGCAAATTACCCCAACTAACGAGCTTGTTACGCACCATAACTAGCTAATTGGTCCCTCAACCTACGATCCACAGTTGCCAATTTAAAAGTACCTCAAGTTTCGCGATTTTAGTTTCATCAGTTGCCTTATGGGTTGATTTACGCAAATTTTATGATTATTTTAATGAATTTGTACAACTTTAGGGGATAATCTGGGATAATTTTAGTGATAATTGCAGCATTACCGCATTTTAAAAAGTTTGATGATTTTTTTCGTGAATTTCAACTAATTAAAATATATTAACAAATTCTAGCGGCTTTCAGAGGAGCTTAAGTATCATTTGGTGAATTGTATGTTAATTTATTTATTTATGGTGATTTTGGATTAATTTGATAGAATTTTACGACTATACTGTTGAATTTAAACGACTCGGTGGCTTAATATAAAGTAATTTCACCCACTTTCGCTTAAATTCAGCGGAAGTTTAGCTACTCTTGCGGTATGAGTTGGCAACACTGCTGTCACCACCAACTTGGCCCACTGACTGGCTGGGAGCGCGGGAAAGGTCAAAGGAGCCTTGTGATTGGTCTGTTTTTTTGCGTGTTTTTTGGCGCGTTATGAAATGCTGTGATTGGTGTGCTATTTTTTACACGTTTTAATGCTGTTATTCTACTTTCTGGGGGTCATGGGGAGCTATGATTGGTCTGGTTATATTTTGATGAACTATAAAGTGCTGTGATTGGTCTACTTATTTTTGGAATGTATTGAAATGCTGTTATTAGTGTGGCTATACTTGGGAGCGTTAGGAAATGCTGTGAATGCTCGAGCTATGATTGGCTTACTGTAGTTAAATATGATTATATGCAAATGTAATATAAACATCAAGTTTGCCACCATCCCACCCATAGAAAACCCACGCCCGCTACCCATACTAACCCACACTAGACTGCCCACGACCACCTACCACACAGCTCAGGTCTCGTATTACGCGTGTTAAATGAAGGTTCCAGAGTAAGGCAATAATAATTTGTATCTGTATAGTAAACATGTCAAGGTGTATGTTATGGTCGCCCTAGCCTTACACGAGCACGGATCACCTGAAGATTAGACACCCTGATGGAAGTAATGGTAGTAGTGGTGATGATGGTAGTAGTGGCGATGGTGATGGTGGTGGTTTTAGTAGTAGTAATGGTGGTAGTGAAGGTCGGGGCCACAGGTTCAGTCACCCCCGCTCTCTTACATCAACAAACTTCTCACAGAAAACGAGCGGCGATTGTAAACACAACGACGTCTTGGGTGGTCTCCCCTGTGTGTGTGTGTGTGTGTGTGTGTGTGTGTGTGTGTGTGTGTGTGTGTGTGTGTGTGTGTGTGTCATCCTTAACTTAATACAATAGGCTAAAACAGCTCCATTAACCACATAGCATTGGTGTCGCACGTTATCTAGGTCATGCGTATGCCAGTTGGGTCATGCACATGCCATCGGGGTCACGTGTATGCCAGCTGAGTTAATTATATGCCATCTGGGTCATCCGTCTGCTACCTGGGTCATCCGTCTGCTACCTGGGTCAACCGTATGCCACCTGGGTCATCCGTCTGCTACCTGGGTCAACCGTATGCCACCTGGACTGTGTATAAGGGAAGGGGTTGGTGGTCTTACCTTCTGATGAATTCGAACTCGGAGAAGAGCAGCATGATGGAGGCGAGGAGGGTGGAGGCAGCACCGTGCAGCACTGGGGCGGCCATATGCTGCAGCGCCAGGATTACCCGTCGGTCCCTCCCGCCTACCGCCGTCAGGAACCCCACCGTCACGTGGACACAGAACTCCACGCCCACGCCCACGCTCACGATAAGGAGGACGGCGGGCACGGCGGACAGCTTGACGCCCAGCACCCCCAAGACGCCGAACAGCTGCAACACGAGGGTGGCCAGCAGCAACACCACCAGCGCCGCCGCCCATAGGTTCATCAACACCACCGACAGCACCACGAACACCGCCGTCAGCACCGCCAGTAGCGCCAGCACCAGATAGAACCTGACAGAGGAGACGAAGAGGATGTTAGTTAAGATCAATTTTGTTTTGGTTAATGAGAGGTGAGGAGGTGTCAGGACCCAGCTAGTGAAGGTCGAGTCTTCAAGCTACCCAGGCCACCATCTTTGAAGCATAAATAACTGAAGTAGATCCGTTCTCCCATAACTAAGGTAAACTACGAACAATTCTACAACAGTTAATGATCTACGTGGCCACAATTTCCTCAAACCTTTAACTACACCATTAACCGGGAATATCCTAATTTAAATGTGATTCTACTAAAGTGAATTGAAGTAATTGATCTTAATGAGTTGAAACAGAACCTAAGAGAAACTCCTTAGTAAGCCGTAATGAAGCTGCTTAACACCTTCCATCTTATTCCCTTAATACAACATACATACAGTAATACAGTATACATACATACATACACACACACACACACGCGCTCTCTCTCCCATCATTCATCATCATTTACTCATTTTTCCTACTATAAAAGACAAGATTCTCCTGTCACTCCCTCCACAACAACAAGACCCCGCGCCAGGTCGACTTCTATAGCCTCACACCACCAGCAGGAGTAGCAGCAGTAGATGACTAACCTGAGCTTAATGTACTGCTCCCAGAAGGTGAAGGGGACGCCCGTGGGGAAGTTGGGTAGTCCTCGCTCCTCGAACCTGCGACAGATGGCCCTCACCTCGTGGATCATGGCCGTGATGGAGTCGGTGTCCCCCAGCTGGTGTAGGTAGAAGGCCAGCTGTGTGTATACCAGCGGCGGACTCTTGGGGATCTGTGTATGTCGGGAGGAGTGAGTGACGGTGAGTGACGGTGGGGACAGTGAATGACAGTGGGATAGTGAGTGACGGTGGGACAGTGATGGTGAGAGCAAGTGATGGTGAGACAGTGAGTGACGGTGACAGTGAGACAGTGATTGACGGTGGGACAGTGATGGTGAGACAGTGAGTGACGGTGACAGTGAGACAGTGATTGACGGTGGGACAGTAAGTGACAGTCGGACACTTCCCACCACAAATGTTCAACACGGACATTTATTGAAACGATCCAGGAGTTATATTTAATTCCTGCCGTACAAAACTAATTACTGTACATGTGTAACTAAATTTAAAGCACAAATGATAGTTAGGACAAGTTTAATTATATTGAACTGTATTTATTGTTGAAAAGCTAAGAAATTGTCGTGTACAGTGAAACTTCTATATAACGGACTTTAATCTTTATATAGTTCGTTAGATGGAGGTTTCACAAGTAACGACCCTCGATATAACGGACTTTATTCTTTATATAGTTCGTTAGATGGAGGTTTCACAAGTAACAGACCCTCGATATAACGGACTTTATTCTTTATTGTCCGTTAAATAGAGGTTTATCACAAGTAACGACCCTCGATATAACGGACTTTATTCTTTATATAGTTCGTTAGATGGAGGTTTCACAAGTAACAGACCCTCGATATAACGGACTTTATTCTTTATTGTCCGTTAAATAGAGGTTTAACTGTACTATACTTCATCCCTTTCAAGTAGAACCACACAACCACCCACCTTCAGGTCGTAGTCATATCTGTCATGCGTCCAGTGTCGTGGTTCTGGCCGAAGGTCAGCTTGGGAGGCGCTGTAGGCGAGGGCGTCGTTGCTGACCCAAGCTGTCAGGTAGTTGTAGAACGCCTTGGGGTTGATAATGCCCTCAGAGTCCACCAGCCGGATCTGTAACACACACACGGCACAGCCTGTTACTTACCACCGTTTTCACGATCGATACTGTGAGTTACCGAGTTAATTAATGAGTTACCAGGCACGATACTGTGAGTTTCCGAGTTATTAATGAGTTACCAGGTGATGTCTGCCGCCCTCACTCACCTATTTACGGCCAAGGGAAGCTTCTCTGTCAGTTCTGATACAGACACCTATTTAAAAATGACAACACTAAACCACTATTTCCTGTATGAGATCTTTGTGCTGTGGAAGATGACAAATATATCTATATGTTAACTTATGGAGCAATTTACGACAACAGCTGTGACAAATTCTGATCCTAACGATATATTAAAGGACACCAATGAAGTATGTTACTGAGGGAGAGATTATAGGGGAGAGGGACGTGTGTGGGGATGACGAGTGAGGGAGAGATTATAGGGGAGAGGGACGTGTGTGGAGATGACGAGTGAGGGAGAGATTATAGGGGAGAGGGACGTGTGTGGAGAAGACGAGGACCACCAGTGACAGGTCGAGACGTACCTGGGTGACGAGAGAGTCATCGGTGGGGTTGTCGACATGGCCAGTCTGGACGAGAAGCTTGTAGGCCAAGATGCCCTCGTCAGAAGCGTTGTTGTGCCATTTCTCCTGCGTGATGCATCCGTCCCGCCAGTCACGGTCGAACGCCGCCTGCAGCCCTGTCAGGTGGCCAAGATGGGAGAGTGAGTATGTTGCTGCCACACCAGAAACTTGTTAATGACAGTCAAGAGGTAAACACAACCCACCCATGCATTCTCCGTTACTGTTACCACCACCACCAGTCACGCTTCACCCTCCCTCACTACTGTACACCCACACAATCCCTCACTACACACCAGCGTCATCACAACACTACATCACTACACCCACATTAGTCGTCGTGACACGCTACACCTACACCTCGATACACCCCGTTACACACACCACCGTGGGTTTACGAGTCAGGTTCTTGGTGTCGTGAGGTGATGGGGGTCACCTGAGCGCCGGCACCTGAGGAGCAGCAGGTGTTGGCCCTCACAGTTCGTCAGTGCCACACAGAGATGCCAGACACTGTCACACCCTGCACACCTGCCAGCAAGATTGCCCTCCCCCCCCCCCTCGAGGGCAATCTTGCTGGCAGGTGTGACAGTAACTCTCTACACACCTTAAGATCGTGACCTAAAATGATCTCCAAGTCCGGTGAGGTCACAGCTCTAACAGCTCATAATACCACTTAAATAACTACAGTGCCACGGTGCCACCTCTTAGAGCAATAGACGACAGTGCCATATATATTTTTTTCCTTAGTTTTCTGGCAGGTTTAAAAACTCATTTAGGAATGCAATGTTGTTTGTGATACTACTCGCCGCCGCCCCCTACCCCCTCTCTCTCCCCCTCCCCTGTGAGTGATGACGGGAGGGAGGGAGGGCACGTCTACACTGATTATCCCGGGAGGCATCATGACATGTAGAGGGAGGGGGAGGGGGTGGAGGAAGAGGAAAGGGTGCTGACGTCTGCCCCTCACCCCGGAAACTGTCAAAGGGGGAAGGTGTGTGTGTGTGTGTATCGCACATAGGGAGAGGGGAAAGGAGGGGAAGTCTACAATAATGCAATAATAATAATAATGATGCTGATGATGATATTGGAGAATCAAAATCTCTCTTGCTCCCTTTCTCTTTTTCTCTCCCTTCTTACACCCCTCTCCCCCTCTCCTCAGTCATCCCTACGTTACGGCAGATCACCGAGATAATCCCAGCCTCTTTATCAGCGGCGCTACAAAATAAAATCCCGCCGCTAAAAATACGACTTCTCATGTAGCACGAGACGAGAGGGGTAGGGGTGTGGGGGAGGGAGGGAAGGGGTGGGGGAGGGAGGGAAGGGTGTGGGGAGGGAAGGAAGGGTAGGGAAGGGTGGGAAGAGGGTGGGGGAAGGGGGTGTGGGGAGGATGGGGAAGGGGTGGGGAGAGGGTGGGGGAGGGTGTGGGGGAAGGGAGGTGTGACAGCATCTTGGGTGGTGTGGTACTGGGACGGGTGAAGGGGGGAGGGAGAGTTGGTGAGCCTCATAAGACAATGTTGGTATGTGGAATTTTTTGTGGTTAAATTTTACACGATGATGTAGTCTTAGGGTAGATCGTGACGTCATCGCACCAGCTGATTGGATGTAAAAAAAATGGGCGATGGTGTCCATGAGGGTATGGAGGCGAGTTACTGTTCTCGCGTGCATGCAAAACAGACCAGGAATTCAGGATGATATTCAAGATTAGATGAGACTTCAATGGCCCGAAGTACATTGAAGGATGATTCACGGCGGAGGATGCCTGAGACGGATGAGAGAAGGGAGGAAGGATGATCAAGGAGAGAGTCATGGTGGAGGGCGCCTGAGAAGGATGCAGGCAAGTCCCCCCAGACAAAACAAGGAAGGGCACTCACCTATGAGCCAGTCCCTGAAGAGTGAGAGCCAGAACTCAGGTAGACCGCCGTCGTCGTTCTTGATGATGTTGTCGACCCTGGTGAAGGCCTCGTAGTAGTCGTGCAGGAGGCGCTGTTTGGTGGGGTACTCCAGGTTGCCCTGAGTCACGGCGAACATGTTGTAGAAACCGAAGTACCGTTGCTGGGCCGAGAGGAAGGCGTACTCGGGAGTGTTACTTGGCACTATGTCCGTCAGGTCGAGGCCGTCTTCAACACGGCTCACGCCCCACGCCGCCGCCGCCACTGACACAATAAGACCCACTATGGCCGCCGCCTTCACCGCACCATGGGTCAGCGCGGGGCCGTACACTGTCCCTGCCAGGTCCTCGATACTCCACCCAGACCAGAATTTTACCATTGATGTCCACGCCCGCGACAACCCCGAGCACTTTTTCCCGCCGCCCACAAGGTCACGGGTGGAGTTTGTCGTGGCTAGGGACTCCAAGGAGGGCGCTGAGGGGGCGTGAGGGTCTGGCGGCGCCCCCCAACACTCCCTTGGGGCGGTAGGCGGCACTATGTGGGTGACAGTGCCGCCTCCCGGAGGAGGTAAAGCCCGCGTCACTGTTGCCTTCCTGGTTCGGTCTACAACTGGTGGAGGCTGTCGGGAGTGTCTCGCCCTACTCCTTCCTTCTTCAGCAGCTGAACTCGTTAGCTGATGCTGCAGCGGCACCACTTGGTCTTTACTGCTGCCCTGCAAACAACACAGCAGGTCGGCCCTCTGAGCGTGGCGCCGTCGCAGGTCGAGACTCATGATGGCAGGGAAGACGGTGAGGGCGGACACCAAGTTGACCAGCACCAACAGCGCCGCCTGTAGGCAGAAGGCTCTTAGGGCGGGCACGGGCACCAGGGCCCCGGCGAAGAAAGCGCAGGCATTACACACGGAGGTGAGCACCACGGAGACCCCAGCCCGCTTCACCACTTCACCCACTCGCTCCTGTAGAAGAAAGAAAATACCTTGACGACTGATGCTGAACACTGTAGGTCAGGAGGTGAGGTGCGCCACCACGACCACCACATACTGACACTAACACTAATTTAATATCATCTCTCTCTCTCACACAACAATCCCTGTCCGTTACACATTGTAAACAAGACCCCTCTCTCATCACTCTTTCCTCCCTCACCGCCCAGGAAGGTAGAAGCCCAGGCCCCACCCTTGTTATCGGGCATTACCGCGCCCCAGCATGTGAGGTGTGTTAGGGGGGGAGGGCAAGACAGCGCCGTCCCCAACCGGGAGAGTAAGATGTCCCTGTCAAATTATTGGTCGTGCGAAGACGGGAGTGGGGGGTGGGAGGGTGGTGGGTTGATGGCGGGAGAGAGGGGGAAGGGAGAGAGGGGAAGGGAGAGAGGGGGAAGTGACTGCGGGAGTGATGAAGGGAGGGAGAGGTGGTAGGTGGCTAATAGAGGAAGGTATGGAGGGAGGGAGTGTAAGATGGACTGTAGGGAGGGAGGGAGGGAGGGAGGGAGGGAGGGAGTATAGGGAGGGAGGGAGGAGGGAGTGGAGGAGGGGAGGAGGAGGGGAGGAGGGAGGGAGGGGAGGGGAGGGGAGGGAGGGAGGGAGGAGGAGGAAGGAGGAGGGAGTATAGGGAGGGAGAAAGAGGCAGAGGGAGGGCGTGGTGGGGAGTGAGGGAAGGAGCGAGAGATGAAGTTGGGGGGGTGTAGGGAGGGAGAAAGGGAGTGTAGGAAGGGAGGGATGAAGAGTGAGGGAGAAAGGAGGGAGAGATAATAATAGCCCTAACTAATATAAATATCACAAAGGCATCATAAAAATCATGTTTCATTACCTTGAAATACGAGTCCATTATTTCCTACGCAATGGGTTCAAGGTTCAGAGGTTCAGAGTGTTGGGATTCAAGGTTCAGAGTGTTAGGATTCATGGTTCAGGAGTTCAGAGTGTTGGGATTCAAGGTTCAGAGTGTTGGGATTCATGGTTCAGGGGTTCAGAGTTTGGGGATTCAAGGTTCAGGGTTCAGTGTTGGTATTCAAGGTTCAGGAGTTCAGAGTGTGGGGATTCAAGGTTCAGGGGTTCAGAGTGTTGGGATTCATGGTTCAGGGGTTCAGAGTGTTGGGATTCATGGTTCAGTGTGTTGGGATTCATAGTTCAGGGGTTCAGAGTGTTGGGATTCAAGGTTCAGAGTGTTGGGATTCATGGTTCAGATTTGACTCTACAGAGCATCAGGATGACCTTGGCTACAGAGAGAGAGAGAGAGAGAGAGAGGGAGAGGCGTCATGTTACCAGATAGGATCACGGGAATGATTGGTAGTGAGCCATTACCAGGTAGTGTGTGTGTGTGTGTGTGTGTTAAAGAGGCCCTTACCCCATCTCTCCTACCTACCTCCTCTTCCTTCAACTGTTTCTCTCTCTTCTCCATTCCCTATTTCATCAATCTTTCCTGAACTGTCTCTATCATTATCTCTATCAAATGTTTTTTCTCTATACTTCAATAATTAATATCTAATTTCCCATTTCCTTTATTAACACTCTCTCAATTATTATAAATCACAAATTATCTTAATATTATTGCACTGATAAACGGGGTAAAAATGTATATGTGTAAATGCGCTTAAAGACAACTTGAAATTCGTCTTGGTGGTTGGTGGACGCCCTCGGTGTTGGTAGTAATTTTATACAAACACAGAAAATGTAAACGAATTGGAGGGATAACTAAAGTAATACAAGTATCTCTCTCTCTCTCTCTCTCTCTCGACGACATAAACAATGCCATACGCCTGCCGCACTCACTCACTCTCTCTCTCTCTCTCCCTCCCTCCCTACCGTCTTATCTAACTATCAGGTGTACCCTCACTTGTTTGTTTGTCCAGGGCCAGGAGAGAGAGAGAGAGAGAGAGGTCACGTTGCACGTAATAAATCTCAAAAGAAAACTAGTTCTTCGGGAAATGTATGTCTTGATTTGTTGTTGTGTCTGGGTGGCTGCGCGTGTTAGCTCAGGCAGGTGGTGGGTGGCGCCGTGTCAGGTCTTGGTGGGGCTTGGTTAAAAGGTTATCATGGCCACCCCCCACCACCCCACCCCTCTCCACACCCACCCCTCTTATTGGTCTTACCTGTGGGTGTGGATGTAAAAGAGTGGGCGTGAGGGCGTGGGTGTGAACGTAAAAGTGTGGGCGTAAGGGCGTGCGTTGTGGGGGTTAAAAGACGCAGAGAGTGAACTAAGGAAGGATACAATAAACGTGATTCCTTTTTTTTCTATCATTGTCTTTGTCACTGGCTACACATTTGCTCCCTTCTGACTCTCCTCCTCCTCCCTTCATCCCCTATCCTTCCTCACTCCCCCTCCCCAGAACTCTATCAGGCAGATTTCAGCCACGCCCCTGAGGACATCCCATCACGAGTAGTCTTATCTCCACCATCTGCCACGAGACCCTGACCTGATTAGCTGTTGTTAGGTCACTTGGGAGGCTGCGTCACCCCCCATCCCAGAGACCACCCCTTGTAGGACCAACATGCCGACCACAACCATCCCAGACCAACATACCGTGACCATACCATCTCCAGACCATCCTTTGTAGGACCAACACATCAGGGCCACACCATCCCAGACCAACATACCAGACCATACCCATCCCAGACCAACAACGTGGCCACACCATCCCAGGACCAACATACCGCAGGCCACACACCCACTCCCAGACAACATGTCGCATCCATACCATCCCAGGACCATCCCTCAGGACCAGCACACCGCGACCACACCATCCTAGACCAACATACTGTGGCCACCATCCTAGACTACAGCTTGTAGGACCAACAACATACCGTGACCATACTATCCCAGACCACAGCTTGTAGGATTAACATACCGTGACCACACCATCCTAGACCAACATACCGTATGGCCACCCATCCTAGACCAACATGCCGTGACCACACCATCCTAGACCAACATACTCAGACCATAACCATCTCCAGACCACTCCCTTGTAGTACTAAACATACAGACCACACCATCCCAGACCAACACAACGCGGACCATACCCATCCCAGACCATCCCTGTAGACCAACATACCGTGGCCACACCATCCTAGACCAACATACCGTGACCATACCATCCCAGACCATCCCTTGTAGGACCAACATACCGTGACCACACCATCCTAGACCAACATACCGTGACCACACCATCCTAGACCAACATACCGTGACCATACCATCCCAGACCATCCCTTGTAGGACCAACATACCGTGACCACACCATCCTAAACCAACATACCGTGACCACACCATCACAGACCACCCTTGCAGGACCAACATACCGTGATCACACCGTCCTAGACCAACATACTGTGACCACAGCATCCTAGACCACCCACTGGAGGACCAACATACCGTGACCACACCACGCCCACACCATGATCTCTAAAACACCGACCCTAAAGAACCACCCAAACCAAGACCACACCATGACACACTAAACCAAGGCCTCAGCTAACCACACCTTGATCACCTAAACCACAATGAATTGTCCGAGTGAATTAAATAATCCCGTGACCTTTAATTTATCGTGTACAAGTTTGATACGACTTAAAAACATGTATAAGTCCTGAAATACTGCCTTGATGTACTAGAATGCAACTTTCTGTACCTGTATTTTCGTCTGTATTTGCACCTGTACCTGTTAATCACTTTTAATATGTAAATAAATGTATATGAAGTTGATATAGATTATTATTATTATCGTTATTATTATTATTATTATCGTTATTATTATTATTATTATCATTATTATTGTTATTATTGCTGTTATTATTACTATTATTATTATTAACGTTATTATTATTGTTATTATTATTATTATCGTCGTTAGTATTATTTTTATTATCATTATTATTACATTACTATTCTTATTATCATTATTATTATTACAGTATTCTTATTAGTACTATTATTCTTATCATGATCTGTTCCGTTTCTAAATCAACACAATGGAATTAAGCTTAACCACTGATGCAAAGCTTGACCACTGATGCAAAGCTTGACCACACAGGCTGCCTCACCTTACAACACCAGCTAAGGGCAGACCATTTCTCACTGGCTCAAGATTCAGACCAGGAACACGACAGGTCTTAAGAGACACCTAACAGACCATACCAAACGAGGGTGACTGGAGACCTAACTACACCACTACCAATCCTGACTATTACTAATCCTGACCACTACCAATCCTGACTATTACTAATCCTTACCACTACCAATCCTGACTATTACTAATCCTGACCACTACCAATCCTGACTATTACTAATCCTGACCACTACCAATCCTGACTATTACTGATCCTGACCACTACCAATCCTGACTATTACTAATCCTTACCACTACCAATCCTGACTATTACTGATCCTGACCACTACCAATCCTGACTATTACTAATCCTGACCACTACCAATCCTGACTATTACTAATCCTGACCACTACCAATCCTGACTATTACTGATCCTGACCACTACCAATCCTGACTATTACTAATCCTGACCACCACCAATCCTGACTACTAATCCTGACCACTACTAATCCTGACTTTAAACCTAACCACAACTTTAATAAGTATAACACTCACATGAGAGAGAGAGAGAGAGAGAGAGAGAGAGAGAGAGACATCAACCTTGACTACTCCAAGGAAGGAAGGCGTTAATTACTAGTTGGAAATACGTCACTGATAATAATTTTTTTTATTTACTTATTATTATTATCATTATTTGAGGATGAAAAGAGTATGTGAGAGGAAGAAGCGCGGAAGATGTTCGTCATTTGTTTTGTCGGGGAGGGGAAGAGGAGGGGGAAGAGGAGGGGGAAGAGGAGGGGAGGAGAGGAGGGGGAGGAGAGGAGAGGGGGAGGAGAGGGGGCAAGGGTAACACAAGATGTATCCTCCCTCCCTCCCCATCCAAACCTCTCAAGGACAACATTGATATAATAAATCCCGGGGTGACGGTTTAGGGGAGGGAAGGAGAGGAGAGGGAGAAGAGGAGAGGGAAGAAGGGGGAGAGGGAAGAAGGGGAGAGGGAAAAGGGGGGGAGGGGAGAGAGAAGAGGGTAGAAAAGAAGTTAAAAAAAAAATATATGTACGTAGGATATGACAGAGAGAGAGAGAGAGAGAGAGAGAGAGAGAGAGAGAGAGAGAGAGAGAGAGAGAGGGAGAGAGAGAGAGAGAGAGAGAGAGAGAGAACATGCTTGCTGGACCCCAGGGATGGGGAGGGGAGAGGGGGAGGGGGGAGGGGAGGACGGGGGGGAATGGGGGGGTGTTCTCAGATGACACAGATAGGACAAGGTGGGTGGGACAGAGGCGAGGTGTGGGACCCCCTACTGAGTGGCCACACCTGACACACCACACTCGCCCTTAACCCCACCTACCCCGGGCCACACTACCTTAACCCTTACGCCCTACCTGCAACACGGGCTAGAATCCTTCACCCAAACCAGGACGCAATAAGGGTCAGAGTAGCAACGGCAGAGGTAATCCACCGACGGCCATTCTGGTATCTGTCGTCTTCGATGTTAAGATTAATGTTTTTTTTTTCTCTCTGTGAAGCGCTCATTCCTCCGCCTGTTTTGTCCAGAGTAACATGTTCATCCAAGTACCCACTAAGGCGGCCGCCCACGCCCACCTACGCCCTTAGCCCCCACACCCCCTCCCTCCCCTCAACAGGTGACAGGACCCGGCCAACTTTTACCTCCTACACCTTTTCAATTTCCAAACTGCTAACCATATTCCTTCCTTCTCCTCCTCCCTTCTAATTATCTTTACCCCCTGCCCTGCCCTCTTAGCCCATTAAAGCAAGAGAGAGAGAGAGAGGAGAGAGAGAGAGAGAGAGAAAGAGAGAGAGAGAGAGTATGGTGGGGTAGTGGACGTCCTAGTTTGTGACCGCTCTGGGGTCCTTCCATGTGACGTCCAACACCGCCTTACTCTGGTCCTCTTTCACCTGTTGTTAGATTAGGTTAGGTTGGATTAAGTTAGGTTGGGTTAGGTTAGTTTAACTTTAGGGTGTTTAATCATCAGGTGAATTAAGTTTAGGGGTTTAATTTTCAGGTTATAAGGTATTTTTCCACCTGTGAAAGCCCAAGACCCGGACACACACACACACACACACACACTACATGAGGACTCACCTGGTAGGGAATGAGAGTATTATCGGCGGTGTGGGCGAAGGTGTGCGCCAGGAGGAACATGTCGTCGACGCCGAGACCCAACGCCAGGAAGGGGAGTACCTGGGTGGTGGAGGCGTTAAAGGGGAGACCGAGGAGGGCGCAGAAACCCAGACCAGCCGCCACCGTCACCGCCACCAGCAGCACCCCCGCCAGGCCCAGACCCGCCCCGGACCTCACTGAATCCGACACCCGCGCCAGGGACACACACGCGTACACCACCTGTACACCCGGGGGGAGGGGGGAGAAAGACGTTACTACAAATGTACATAACTAGTGTACCCAGATAGTAAACCTCCTATACATTAAGACGAGTGTACAGTACATCTTTACACTGAAATGGGTGAAATGTTATGTGAATGTACACTAAACGCACACCATGTACACTAAACGCACACCATGTACACTAAACGCACACCATGTACACTAAACGCACACCATGTACACTAAACGTACACTATGTACACTAAACGCACACCATGTACACTAAACGCACACCATGTACACTAAACGCACACCATGTACACTAAACGCACACCATGTACACTAAACGCACACCATGTACACTTCACTAAGAAGCTGTCTATCTATCCACTTGATTATATGTATATGTAGTTAGTTATCTATTATCCCACATTATCAACAAGTCACACATACATACACACACACACACACACACACACACACACACACACACACACACACACACACACACACACCACAACAACACAACACAACACAACACAACACAACACAACTACTCACCATGAAGATGTAGCCCAGCGCGACCCTAGAGGCGGGCACCTCAGAGAAATCCCTGAGGAGGTGGTTGAGGGCGGCGCTGGAGAAGGGCAGGAGGTGGTAGGAGCGAGTCTCGTTGTGTCGCCGCTGGGTCTCCTTCAGTATCTCCTGACGGGGTTAAACAAAGACATGTGGTTGGTGAGGTCGTGCTGGGTCGTTATTTACAGGTGATGGGTATGAGGGGTCGTGGGTTAAGGTAAGTGTGGGTGGTGTGTGGGTGGTGTACTGGTGTGGGTGGAATGGTGGCTGCTGGTGTGTGTGGGTGGTGGCTGCGCTGCTTCGAGGTGTGTGTGGAGTGAGGTGTGCTGGTGTGGGTGGGTGGTGGCTGCTGGTGTGTGTGGAGTGTGGTGTGCTGGTGTGGGTGGAGTGGTGTGCTGGTGTGTGGAGTGGTGTACTGGTGTGTGGAGTGTGCTGGTGTGTGTGTGGAGTGAGGTAATACTGATGTGTGTGGGTGGTGTACTGGTGTGGGTGTCTGTGTGTTTACAGGTTGGTGGGAGCGGACTTTTTCTTACTTATGCGAGGAGGGAAGGAAGGAAGGAAGGAGGGGAGGGAGGAAGGAAGGAAGGAAGGAGGGAGATAGTGAGGAATGTTTGGAGTAAGGAAGGGAGGGAGGTAGGAAGGGAAGGAGGAAATGAGTAAGGGAGGGAGGGAATGAGTAAGGGAGGGAGTAAGAGAGGGAGGGAGGAAAGTAATGAGGGAGGGAAGGAGGGAGAGAAGAAGGAGTCCTCATTTCTCATGGCGACAAGATAATTACTTTCCACGGGGGAAGCTCAAATTGTATTAATGACCTCCCACACCTCCCAAAAAAGGTAATCCCCAGCATTTTGCAACATGGCGCATTTTCTACGGTGCCACTCTTATAATAAACCTAATCTGCCGTGATTACCTTTATGGTTTATTACCTTTTATCTCGAACTAACTAAGACTAATCTCCCGTGATTACCTTCCCACTGATTACATTCTCAAGTTATTACCATCTTTTTTTTTCTTTTAACAGCGAGTCATCTTTTATTAATACCTGAAGCGAGGAAAATATTTCATAATCTAAGCAAAGTTTTTGTTGTTTTTTTTGTTGCTGATTTCTTAAGCGAAGACGAAATGTTTTAAAAATTAGTGAATGTTTTATTAAAATCTGAAGGGATGATGTTTATAAAATGTCAATATCATGGTAGATCTATAATTTCTCCACTGACGTAATGTTTCCCGCGTGTTTACTTATGGAATACAGTTCAGTAACTCTCGGGTCAGGTCGGTAACTCTCGGGTCATGTCGGTAACTCTCGGGTCAGGTCGGTAACTCTCGGGTCAGGTCGGTAACTCTCGGGTCATGTCAGTAACTCTCGGGTCATGTCAGTAACTCGGATCAGGTCGGTAACTCTCAGGTCAGGAGTCGGTAACTCTCAGGTCAGGTCAGCAGCTCTCGGGTCATGTCGGTAACTCTCGGGTCAAGGTCGGTAACTCTCGGATCAGGTCGGTAACTCTCGGGTCATGTCGGTAACTCTCGGGTCAGGTCGGTAACTCTCGGGTCAGGTCGGTAACTCTCGGGTCAGGTCGGTAACTCTCGGGTCAGGTCGGTAACTCTCGGATCAGGTCGGCCTGGAGGAAGCTTCAAGACAAGACTTTATCAGGTAAGGGGCGGGACCGAGGGTGTAACATGTTATGATGGCGGCGTGTTTCTGGTCATTAAAGCCGCTGATGGTCGTGATCCTGAACCACCTCTCACCCAGTCTCTCCTCAGTGCTGGAGGGAGGAAGAGCTTGAGTAATGGACCTCTCCTCCCAAACAAACCTAACATACATACATACATACATACACAGTCTCCTCTACCCTGCCATATACACACACACACAGGCCACCACCACCGTCGCCCACCACCTGTTCGACTCTACGCGACCCGTATTTAATTATCCCACCTGAATCGTATCGCAACATATCCAAATAGGGCGAAGGGGGAGAGGAAGAGGGGGAGGGGAGGGGGGTACATAAGTGCCAGGGAGGAAGGTGAGGTGTAGTCCAGAGCCAAATCACGCTAATTCACCCCATATTTTATTTAATTAATGGTCATATAAATCTTGGTGGTCTCTCTCTCTCTCTCTCTCTCTCTCTCTCTCTCTCTCTCACACACACTTCCCAACGCCTGTTACTGTTTACCTCTGAAAGCTAACTTGCTGTCTGAAGAAGTGACACTGTATCAAGGACGAGACTATAGGAAGAAAGAAAGATAAAAAAGAAAGAAAAGAAAAGAAAAGAAAGAAAGAAAGAATCACCACAACCTACCTACAGCCTCAACACCCTGGTGAGGAGGGGGAAGAGGGGGGGAGGAAGAAGAGGGGGAGAAGAGGAGGGGGAAGAGGGGGAGGGGGAGAACCTTACCTGAGTGAACTTATTCTGCCAAGTCTCAAGGATAAGTGAGGCCTTCTCTTGTGACCAGTCGACGTGGTGTACCTTGTAGTGATCCAGCCAGTACTCGTAGAGATTCTTGGAGCCCATAAGCTGTACCATACTCTGTACCGCCTCAGCCCTGGGTGGGAGACGCTTCAGTTAATATATTGTAATTCAAAACTATTTATATCCGATATATCCGAAGATTAGTCCCCCCTAACTTATTTCACCTGATGATTAGTCCCCCCTAACTTATTTCACCTGATGATTAGTCCCCCCTAACTTATTTCACCTGATGATTAGTCCCCCTAACTTATTTCACCTGATGATTAGTCCCCCCGAACTTATTTCACCTGATGATTAGTCCCCCCTAACTTATTTCACCTGATGATTAGTACCCCCTAACTTATTTCACCTGAAGAACCAATTCACCTAACTAGACCCTCCTTTACCTGACGATGTGACCCGTCTTGTTGGTGGTGGTGGCGCCGACGATGAGGTCCTCAGGCCAGTGCATATACTTCCCAGCGAACCCGTAGCATCCGCCCGTTAGTTCAGCACCAACGTCCGGCGCCTGTACCAGAGATAGAGAAAGTTTGATCAGACAATCGTTGGGTTGTGGTTTTTTTAGGAGGAATACTCGTTTGGTCACATTGGCAAGTAGGAAAGTAACGAGTTGAACAGGAGTTGATTTTGGGGGGAGAGAGGTCTTTTGTTGAACACATTTTGGGGAGGTATTTCTCATTGAACACATTTTAAAGGAATATATCTCGTTGAACATACACTGTAGGGGATACTTTCATCTGGTCACACACACACACACACACACACACACACACACACACACACACACACACACACACACACCTGTTTGGACATCTTGTTAGGTGCAGTGTCGGGACAGAGTGGATCGCTGGGGTCAAGACAAGGCTTCTCCTGGTAGGCCGTGGTGATGCCCGCCTGTAAACAACAAGTTAATTAATTGCACAGGTATATATCACAGGTAAGGTAGGGTGGGGTAAGGTAAGGTTGGCTGGGGTGGGGTAAGGTAAGGTTGGCTGGGGTAGGGTAAGGTTGGCTGGGGTAGGGTAAGGTTGGCTGGGGTAGGGTAAGGTTGGCTGGGGTAGGGTAAGGTAAGGTGAGGTGGGGTAAGGTTGGGTTGGGTTGGGTTCGGGATCTTAATAGAGAGAATAAAAACAAAATTAAATATAACGGATCTACAGTGAAACCTCCATATAACGGATTTCTCTCTATATATAATCCGCTAGATGGAGGTTTCACATCTATTAGACCCTCGATATAACGGACTTTCATCTCCACATAATCCGTTAAATGGAGGTTTCACTATACACACACACACACACACGCACACACACACACACACTGATTTACATAAATAAACAACAATATTTATGAACCATAGATAACGTAAAAAAATCATAAACTGAAAAAAAAGGGGAAAAATATTCTGACGTAAGACTTGATATAACACTCAATAAAATACGTAAGCTAGGACACATATTAATGGCTTCTATATTTTTGGGGGTGTGGGGAAGGGGGGCTAATTTGTACCTGAATGTATCCGGGTTTTAAGGAGAGTACAACAGGTGAGGTGTGAGGGGGGGGTAGGAGGTGATGTGAGGAGGGGCACGTGGTGATGTGAGGAGGAAGGGCAGCTGAGGAGGGGCAGGAGGTGAGGAGGGGCAGGACGTAAGGAGGGGTAGAAGGTGAGGAAGGGCAGAATGGACAGGGGAGGGATGAGGTGAAGCAGGTGAGGAAAGGAAATGAGTAAGGTGAGGTGAGGAGAGGCAGGAGGTACAGGTTCACACGTCCACGACCACCCAGGGACGGTAAAGACGGTGGGGTGGTCGAGCAAAACTTAAAAACTTCTTGGCGTGGTTGTTGCAGGTCCTCTAGTGACGCAACACCGTCTCCCCTTACGTGCGGCAGCTGCGGCCTCGAGCTTGCGGCCGTGTAAGTCAAGCCGCAATTAAACGGCAAGGCTTCCTAGGGCCGCAGTGTGGGAGCTCAGGTGACACGGACAGAAGGTGGCCTTAGCGAGTCTCTCACGGGTGATGATGTTGTGTCTGCGTCGTGTTGCTCCTCTACTCCTACTGCGGCGCCTCCTACCGCTCATTACGTTATGTTAAACCTGTAATAAGTCCTTCTGGGCGTGACTCAAGTCCTCCGGGGCGTGAATCAAGTCCTCGAGGCTGTGGATCAAGTAATAAGTCCTTCAGGGCGTGGATCAAGTCCTCCGGGGCGTGGATCAAGTCCTCGAGGGTGTGGATCAAGTCCTTTAGGGGGTGAATCAAATCATCCGGGGCGTGAATCAAATCATCCGGGGCGTGAATCAAGTCCTCCGGGGCGTGGATCAAGTGTATTATAAATTAGCGAATCCTGATGAGCGGGGCCGGGGTGAGGAGCTGTGGCCGCTCTCCTCCACCAAGCAGTAACTCGATCATCAGCTTCCTCACCACCCTAAACGGCAAAACCACAAGAGCATCCCCGCACGACCACCTACGATACCTAACCCAGCCACCTCCACCTTCCCCTACCACCCACACATCTCCCTCCCGCCCACTCCTCCACCTTCACACCTCCAACTGTCAAAATTATCACCCTGCGAGATTCTAAGACTATAAACATGAGTTCATAAAGTTGCTAAAGTAAAGTATTTGGGCGAGAGAGGTTGGAGGGTTGGGAGGTGATGGCTACCGGCGGCTGAGCTACCCCCGGCGGTAGGCTCAAATAACAGGGGTGGCGAGGCGACTCCACCATTAATTACAGATATTGACTCGTCTCTGAAGATGATGACTTGATATCGCCTCTTAAGCCACTGGCAATAATCCAACACTTAGCGAGTTGCAGGCAGGCCCTTCCAGCTACACATTAAAAGACCTCCTACTGTCTCTGTGTGCAGCTGCCCGCCACACACGCTAACACTGCCTTGGTCTTACGTGCTGTTGCTGTGCTGTTCGGGAAGTGCGTGGGGGTACAGCTGGTGCGTCAGGATCCACCACACGTGTTCGATTTCCTTGGTACAGTACATAAGCAAGAGTCAGGGAAGATTGGTGCTGGAAAAAAACACGACACACACGTCTTCCTCCTCCTCCGCACGACACTACAACACAAGCTGGTGTGTGTGTGTGTGTGTGTGTGTGTGTGTGTGTGTGTGTGTGTGTGTGTGTGTGTGTGTGTGTGTGTGTGTGTGGGTAAATAATTAATTACCTGAGAGCTAATGTGGAATAAATGAACGTGCGTGTGAATGAGCAAATAAATATGAATGAAAAAAGTGAATAAGTAAATCAATGAGTGATTGAGTGCGTGGCCAGAAAGATAACTCACAATAATGAGCCCAACATTCTCAAAATAACACACACACACACACACACACACACACACACACACACACACACACACACACACACACACACACACACACACACACACACCACCAGAACCCTAATAGAGATGTTCCTACAGACCAGACAGGGAGACCACCCGGTCACAGTGATAAGGGATCCCAGGGGCCAGGTCGAACTGATGACCTCCTTGTCTGCAGGCTCGTATTACCTCGCGGGGGGGAGGTCAGGTCATATATTCAACCCTCACTACAGCGTTCCGGATCGTGTACAATACATGGCTGAGGTCAATCCCACACACACACAGATACACACACACACACACACACGCACACAGATACACACACACACACAGGCACAGATCTACAACGCCTTTATTCTCCCCAAATTAACGTATGCGTCACCAGCCTGGTCGTCTTCTCTCAACTCCACCCAACAACGTCAGCTAGAGAAGGTACAGAAAAGGGCCTGCAGAATCATGCTCGACGCAGAATACTCCGGCTACACCAACGCTCTCTCCACCCTGGAAATGCCATCCCTCAGTGACCTCCACCACCAAGCACTGGAAAGGTTTGGCAGTGTACTACTGTACCACCCTCGTCATCGCCACCTCCTGCCACCTGCAGCCCCCCACCCAACTCGCTCAGTCCGTCACTACAACAAAATTCAGCCCATAAGAGCCCACACCGATAGATATAAGAACAACACCATCCCATCTATTGTTAAAATAATAAACATCTCCTGATTTATGTACTGCACAGCCCTGTAAATGTATTCAATGCATATTATATCATTATGTCTAAATCAAATGTAAGTCTGTATATTTTCAGCCACCGGCTGCAACTCTATTAATAAACCGTTTATTATTATTATTATTAGATACACACACACACACACACACAACTACCCCCATATAATTGCCTTACTACTATTAGGACCTTACTTCACCTGAATGGACGTGTGATGAACCAATATTAGATTTAATCATTTATTTAACACTCATTATCTATATCATTCCATTTATCCATCTATTACTATATTCAAGTGTTTATCGATCTATCTATGTTTCTTGATATCTATACCTACTTTGCCTGTATGTATTTTATCTGTATTTTCTCTATTATCTACTTTATCTACTAACCACCATCTTTATCCATTATCCCTCTTCACCATCTTTATCCATTATCCCTATCCACCATCTTAATCCATTCTCCCCTATCCACCATCTTTATCAATTATCCCTATCCACCATCTTTATCCACTCACCCTCTTCATGAAGTCGGCGAATGAAGCGAAGGGGAAGACGTTCTCGTATCTCTCAAATTCCTTCATCTTGTCCAAAATTTTCTGTGGGTTGAGGTTGGTCCATTTAACACCAGACCCCAGGCCACTGTAGGAGGGAGAGAATGGAGAAGAGAATGATAAATTGGTGAGAGAGAGAGAGAGAGTGGAGGAAGATGGGGAAGAGAACAATAATTATGACAAATGAGAGATACACAGAGATTGGTAGAAAGAAGAAGAAGGAAGGGCTGATAAAAGTGACATAGAAACACGTAAGAACATTAATATAATTACAAATAATACGTGTTCCTTATTTTAAACATTCACTCTCACTCTAACAAACATTCATCAAGGGGCAGGATATACTAATAAAGAAATTAAAAACAACAACAATACTACTACTACTTTTTTTTTTAACGAAGCCCGTGTTGACGTCAGTGCTCGAGGATTCTGGACGCGGGGACAGCGAGCTTTCTTCGACATCAGGATTTTTTATCCCATGGCCGCATGTCACCGTAACCTAGCTCTCGATGCTGCACATAGGAGGAACGAGAACGACAAGAGAAGGGCTATATATGGGGAGAGAATTCAAAACGTTGATCAAGGCAGCTTCCAGTCCTCTAGTGTGTTCACAACCTATGGTGGGATGGACCAAGTGCAAGATGTTTCTACGCCAGACTCGCGGAGGTGATCTCCGAACAGAAGCAGCAGCCCAGAAGTTATGTTACAGCCTGGATGAGATGTCGACTGTCTTTCTCTCTCCTTCGGTCAGCTTTGCTCTACCTCAGGGGAAAGAGAGCTTCTGCCCCAATGCCGACAACTGCAGCTAATATTGACTATGAGGCTACAGTCACTGAATGCCACATTGATCTGCAGCTCAACTAATTCAACACAGATAGGATAGGTACTTATGTATTAGGATATTTAATATTAAGGTAATAAAATGACAGTGAAGGTGTGGCTATTGGGGGAGGCGGGAGGCCAGGCTTAAAAAAAAAAAAAAAAAACTACTACTACTACTACTACTACTACAATAGCCACACCTTCGCCGCCATTTTATTACCTACTACTACTACAACTACGATTTTTTTTTGCCTCCAGCCTCCCCCAATAGCCATACCTTCGCCACCACTACTACTACTAATAATAATGTATGATTTTGTACAATATATGACGTTTGTTTTTTCCGAGTCTTACAAAGTTACTGAAATGAGATACAGAGAGAGAGGGGGGAGTGTCAGTGCCAAATGAGAGGGAAGCTGAACCACTTGACACCTGATACCAAGGTCACCCCTATGACACCTTATGACCATGTACAGAACAGAGTATAGAGAGATTAATGACTGAACCATATAATGATACGTTTTGTTAATCAGTCTCTTCTTTTAAGTATTTACATATATACACACACACTGTACAATACATACATACACACAGCACATACTAACACACATACTGTACACACACACACACACAACATATACACAAATACACACACAAACATAGATATAAATTCACATACACAGGACACCAATGAGAAGGAATTAGGATAATGCCAACCACAATGACCTACCCCCACCAGCGTGTCATTCTCTCTTTGTAGGCGACAACAGAGATACGCCTTATCTTTCTCCCAATGATTTAGTTTTTTTTTTTTGCCTCCTCTTATCAGGTGGTTATCGCCCGCCGTGTCTCAGGGCTGGAGAATGGAGATTGGATGAAAGGGAGTGATCTAGGGATGTGTGGTGGAGGGTGATCTTGGGGTGATGGTGGATGAAAGGGGTGATTATTTAGGGGTGGTGGTGGATGACAGAATTGATTATTTAGGGGTGGTGGTGGATGAAAGGGTGATTATCTCTAGGGGTGGTTGGTGGATAACAAGTGGAATGTTAGGGGTAGTGGTGGATGGCAGAATTATCTAGGGGTGGTGGTGTGGATGACAGGGGTGATTATCTAGGGTGGTGGTGGATGAAGGGTGATTATCAGGGTTGTGGTGGATGACAGAATTGTTATCTGGGGTAATTGGTGGATGAAAGAGGTGATCTAGGGGTGGTGGAGGGGGAAAGGGATGATCTAAGGGTGATGTTGGATGAAAGGGATGATATCTAGGGGTGGTGGTGGATGAAAGGGGTGATATCTAAGGGGGGATAGCTTCGGGATGGTGGTGGATGGAGGGTGTTCTAGGGGTAAGGGGGGGGAGGAGATGATAAAGATGGGAGAAAGGAGAGGAAGAACACTTATAGAGAAGCTGATTTATGTTTGTTGAGGACAGAATTAGATCTCTCTCTCTCTCTCTCTCTCTCTCTCCTCTCTCTCTCATCCCTGAGGTATTGGGGGGTTTAGAGGGGAGAAGGGGGAAGAGGAAGGGGTATGTGACGCGTAACATATGAGATACTAAGACCTGGCCTGACCCAGCTGATTACCGTGACGCCCACACAATGATCCCACCCACACCCGCCCACCCACTCTCTGCCACCCACCAAACGCACCGTAACACACCCACTCATCCTCTTACCATCCGCCCACCCAACACACGAACAGTCCACCCAGCCCACCTTTCTAGTGCCGAGAATCTTCCTATTACCTGGTCCTTCTTCTGTGTCGCCTCCAGGAGTAAGTCATGGATGTCTCTGTGCCACTGACAAGGCCCTAGAGGGCGCCCTTATGTCCTCAACACCCTATTGTCAACACAAATTCCAAAGCACGACCTCCACCTTAACACCTGCAGCAGAAGGACGACCTCTTAACAACTGCAGTAAAAGTACAACCTCTTAACACCTGCAGCAGAAAGACAACCTCATAAATCCTGCAGCAGAAGGTCGACCTCCACCTAACACCAGCAGCAGTAGAAGTACGACCTCCACCTAACACCAGCAGCAGCAAAAGGACGACCTCCACCTTAATACCCGCAGTAGAGGGACACCCCCTGGCAGACGACACACGACACACAAAGGGAAGCTTGGCATTCCGCTGGGAGGTAACTGCGTCCTCATCAACAATCACGACGTGGGGCGGCCGCCGCTTGATTAAGACATCCTTCAGGACATAAAAGGATGGGGGGAGGATGGGATAGGAAGGAGGGGGAGGGGAATAGGTCCTCTAGTGGTGGTGTGGTGGGGGAGGGAGGAGACAAGGTAGGGTGCGACGCTGAAGACTGACCCTACAAGGACTGGACGGAAGTGGCGACGGACGTGATGAGAGGAAGGTGGCAGAGAGGAATAGGTGAGGAAGGGGATGGGGTGGGGAGGGAGTAAAAAAGAGGGGATAGAGGAGGAAGGGGGGATAACAAAGAACAAAAAAAGACATCGATGATAGGGAAGAGAAAGGCGACACAAGTGAAAGAGAAGGGTGGAGAAATTGAAACGAGAACTTGAGAGGAGGAGGAGGAGGAGAAAGAAGAGAGGGAGAACTAAAAAGAATGGGAGAACAGAACATGAGAAATGAGAAAGAAAAAGAGAAGAGGAGAAAGTGAGACTATACAACCCCGAAAAAGGGGTACAGGAAGAGGAAGAAGTGGAAGAAGAGTAACATATAGGGAACAGTGAAGGGTTGAGAGAGATGGGAGAAGAGGAAGAGAGGAGAAAGAAGGGTAGAGTCCAGACCACCACAGACGTCCGGGACTAACAAAGAAAAACTCCCGGGTAATGAAAACTGGTCTTGAATAGTGAATGATTAATTGCTGGCGATTGCTGGCCTTCTGCAGGAGCTGTGGGTGCCGTGGGGAGGGGCGGTGGGGCGGGGATCTCCGGTGAATACTCGAGAGAGGTTTCCCAGGGCGTCTCCAGCGACTACCCATCACAAAGCAACGTCCCGGATGCAACAGAGAACAAGGTCTTCATTCACGTCTTGGGGACTGGAAAAAAAAATCCTGGATACTTCTGGAGGTCGAGTTTCAGGGTTCCAGTGAGGCAGTTTCAGGGTTCCATTGAGGCAGTTTCAGGGTTCCACTGAGACAGGTTTATGGTTCCAGTGAGGCAGTTTCATATAGAGTTGATAAGAGTAAACCAATTCGTAAATCACTCATCACGTCTTATGTTTTGTTAGTCTAAGAGGACGTGTCTGGTGGGGAGGCGAGGACGGACCCCCTCCTGCCGGTGTACAGTATATGGCCACCCGCTTCTCCTACAATAGTTATGGCGGTAACCTTCGGGGGAAATTTCAAGAGCCAGATGAAAAACCATAAGACTAATTTCTCAACCATGCATTCAAGGCTCTTACATCCTATCGAGAGGTCGTATCCCCCTTCCCCCCCCCCAGATTCCATCCTGCCAAAAGGTCGTATCCTCCCTCAGAGTCTCTTACATCCTGTCGAGAGGTCGTATCCTCCCTTCAAACTCTTACATCCTGTCGAGAGGTCGTGTTTCCCCACAAGAATGATCTTGTCGAGAGGTCATATCCCTCCCCAGGGTCTCTTACATCCGGTCGAGAGGTCGTATCCTCCCTCCAAACTCTTACATCCAGTCGAGAGGTCTTGTCCCCCAAGAATGATCTTGTCGAGAGGTCGTATCCTTCCTCTTCCGGGGTCGTAGTTGAGGAGATAACCCTGGTGTCTGTCCCCCTACAGCAGGAGTGGTAGCGGATGTGACTGAGGGCCACACCCGAGGGATTACAAAACACACAGATGGGTCTCTTTAAGGGCGAGGAGCGTGCGTGGAGGACACAGCTGAAGGATTGGGCTCCTCAGAGGTCCATCTAGTGGCGGGGTTCTCAAGGTTCCTACCCAGAGGTGCAGCTGAGGTACTATAGCTTCCTAGGTTCAGGTATAGTCACATGTGAAGGTTCAGGTGTGTTAGGAAAGGTGCCACAGGTGTAGTGTGTGTAGTAATAATAATAATAATAACAATAATAATAATAATCGTTTTATTAATAGAGCTGCAGCCGTGGCTGAAAATATGTGTGAGAGAGAGAGAGAGAGAGAGAGAGAGAGAGAGAGAGAGAGAGAGAGAGAGAGAGAGAGAGAGAGAGAGAGAGAGAGAGAGAGAGAGAGAGAGAGAGAGAGAGAGAGAGAGAGAGAGAGAGAGAGAGAGAGAGAGATTCCCCCACCCCCACCACCGTCAGCTGTGGGTTGATAGAGTCATCAGGGCTGGGCTGGGCCTGGGGGCGAGGCGG